AAACTGGAGCAAGTGCGTGGGTTACTGGCACGGTAAATGGCCTGTCACTCCACAATTTGTGGTGCTGGTATTTCATGGACTACTACTTTGGTACAATACCTAGGTGTGCCATTAGAATATCATTGTGACAGTGAACCATACTGGCGGCGTCAGGCCCTGTAGCTACGAGAAAAAGCTGAACAACTCAATGGTTTCCAGCTATCAATTTTTGCCAGAGTGACCTTTTGTAACATATTTTTAGTAAGCTCTGCTATGTCCTTCAAGTATTGCATTGCTCACGTGCAAATGTACAGAAGCTTCATAAAATATTTGCTGTTTTCTTTTGGGGTTTTTCTTGGGAGCGAACAAGTAGAACTAACTTATTCAGACAGGTTTGCTCTGGTGGACTTGGTCTGTGTCATTTGTACCTTCGTCAGTTAGTTAATAGGTTTATGTTTTTCTGAAATAATCCCGACCCATTCATACGTACTGTTATACAACTTCGGCTTGGAAGACGGTTGCCAGAATTTGTGGTAGAATCTGGTCACATAAAAGCAAGCATTAGAGGTTTCCTAAAAGAAGTTGTTGATTCATGTCTGTTTCTAAAAATGCATTTTTTATTGAAATACCTCAGTACGGTTTTGCATAAAAAGTAATACAAAAATCTAGTAGAAACAGTTCTTCCTGTTCCCCTATATAGAACATTATACTGCGTAGGCCCAGGCCAAAATGTCTTAAGCGGTGTGTAAAAAAAAATGGAGGTACCAACTGCAGCGAAATCGTGGGACACTGGGACCTTGCCGGTGATAACATGGATGCAATAAAAAGGCTTATTCGTTCCTTGGGGTGTTGATTGCCTTCTCTGCAAAAAGCTGGAAACAATCGAACATGCTTTCCTGAACTGCTGGGATGCAGTCTTTTTCTGGGATGTTCTCCAAAGGACTTTGAAAAAGGATCTGCCTCTTGATGCCTATGGCATTAGATTTCTACCAGTATCAAATGAAGAAGGAATACCTTTCGCGCTAGTTATGTTACTGGAACTGTACTGCATATGTCAATCTAGAATGGCGGTGCCCCATGCTGATGTTAATGCACGTCCGGTTCGGCAATACTTCATTCAATCTGTCTGTTCATTCGTGGAATCACAAAAAGTTCAACAAGAGGTGCCCGAATGGCTTCATCAAGTAAAAAATGAAGAAATTTTAAAAAGCCTGTTAAGTGTGACGCTTTTTACCTCTTTTCTTTTGTTCATGTTTGTCCTTTGTTTTATGTACATTTGTTTGTGAATGATTGTACACAGGCAATAAAGAATTTCAGCACTACTGGTGTAAGCAAGCCAGACGCTTGCGCAGCAAAACATAGTTCCAGATACAATTACCTTACAATCAGGGGCGTAGCCAGAAATGCATTACTAATATTTTGAACGAAATTTTGTTACACCAGCAGAATCAGTCTGAATAGGACAAGTATATGTTGTGAATAGTACAAAAAGTATTGCGACATCCAATATGCTCGATGAAAACCAACAGACAATGAAGTCGAAGAAGGTGCAGGGGACGAGATTTGTATTTTGAACTGTATTGTAGGAATTAAAATATAAATGTAGAGAAATTTACGTGGAAAAAAGAGAACTAGCTGCCGGCAGGTACTCAACCTGCGGCCTTTAGGTAATGCATCCAATGCTCTCCCGATTGAGATATGACAGTAGTCGTTCTCTCGCATACTTTATCGAGTACTTCTGTGCGTTTTATTGCCATATTTCATTACACTGCCATGCGATACAGCCACTTTCATTTTATGTTTTTTAACATGATCAGTGAATTAAACAAACCTTAATAAAATGCAAAAATGGTGCCATTTCATTCAGAAAAAAAAAAGCTTTACTAATTGAGCAAGAAAATTTTGTGGTAATCTGGCATATTTTTTTTCTCTTTTGGTAGCGAAATGGTTACGGTTTGTCTAAAAAAGTAAACCGAGCCCTCCGAATTTCTTTTCTTTCGTTCATTCAGTACAAGTGCTAACACTTACATGTTTCATTTTTTTCCAGCTTAGGAGGTTGCCAAGGGTAATTGGGCCAATCCACATTAGCAGCCCCCGTGAGCACCTCCAACAAGAGTCCCAGAGTTATGTTTGGGGCAAGCGAAGGATGGCCAGTCATAAGACGACGCCTGACGAAAAGGGGAGATAATGAAAAGTGGCCGCCTCTACACACGCCTTTGTTGGCAAACCCCGTGAGCTTTTGTTCACCGCACCTTGCGCTGGTGAGTCACCCGCACGGCGGAAGCGTTCTCACGGTGAGCCAGTCTGAGAAACAAGTGGTCCCTGTTGCAACACCGCTCCGGACAGGATAATGAGGGGGCGTGCTGTCACAGTAAGTGTGGACAGATACACAGCATCTTGCGTACTAACTCCAGACAGCCGACTGGCTGTCTAGCCAGACTTGTTGCACGAAAGTATTTTTAAGCTGTACGTTGACGAAATGAGGGAGTTGTTCTTTAGCTGATTTCTTGAAGGATGAGGACAGCAAAGTGTCGGAATGCAGAGACAGAGACATGTCTCTGAGGAAAGGAGAGTTGTTTGTTACATTGGTGGAGCATCAAGAAGGGGTTCGTCCCACGAAGCGGTCTCACGAGACGGGAGGTATGTAATGGAGAGAAATGGAGAGGGGCAGAGCTCGGTGCTCAAGAACGAAATCGGGAAGCGGAGACAGAGGTGGTGCTTGGTGCCAACTCTGATCCAAGGTTGATACTACATCGAGCAGTTGGTGTCGATGTGTGCAGTATACTAAGGGCTCGGCAAGTAATGCTGACGTTAATACAGCCCAGTGCTTACTGTGCGGTTGGTTTAGTGGCCGCCCCGGCCTTTCATCGTAAATAAGTGTCAGTGTGTAAATAAACTGAAGTTTGCCAGGAACTGAGCAACCAGGCCTGCACAGTCCTTCAACGTGTTGTTGTGGTCATCTGAACCATAGGGATTATTTCCATCATCCCAATCTTAACTGCACTCTTCCTATCAGGCTGGTGAAATTAACATGTGACATGCTCAAGAGAAGTCAAGAGGGTCTTGTGACTACAACCATAGCTTAACAACCCCTGCACTTTCTCTAACTTGTTTTCTTTGAATGCCAAGTGGCTATACTATAAGGCAATAATACAATGCTTCACCAAGTGAAGCATGAAAAGACATGGCACTGTGTGGGGTAGTGTGTTTTCACTGTTCTGTTCTAGAGTGCGTCACATGAAGCAATTCATGTTAACCTTTATGCACGAGTTCAACTTGTGTGTTGGTGAGCCTCTCATGTTATTATCTACAGTATAGCCTTATTACAACAGACCTACATAGCGAAGAGGATTGCAGTATGTTTTAAAAAGGGTACGTAAAATCCTAAGTACTGTTACAACAGACTTTTATGGGAACACTGAATGGGCCTGTTATAACTAGAGAGAATCACGAGTCCATATACGAATTTATTACCGATGGGGCATAAATACAGCCGATTTTTTAGGAAATCATTTTAAGTGTCTGTAGCCCTTTTTTCTATCCGATTCCAAAATATCTTCACTCAAAACTACGTACAAGTGCTGTAAAAAGCTTTTGCACCTGTTGAAGTGGTGAAAATCATTATGGAAGTCGCAAAAAAACAAAAACCGGCATTTTTCCAAAATTTATAGATTCGCGGCAGCACAACTGCCCACCATCCTTTTTGGGCTTGTCAAAAAAGTATTTAGTAAAGAGCATTCTATGTTCAAAAAAATTTGGCAGATCCCACACTGCCTTGGGAGTCCATGTTACGTGAAGCATGCAAATGCAAGGTGAATATTTTCATTGAGCGAGATGTTGTGAAGTGGCGCTCAGTATATGTACAAATTTGTGAACACACATATATTTAAACATCCACACGTTTTGTATTAGCAGTTGTTTGCAGTTGCGCAACGATGCCAATAGCAACATAGATATTAGCAACACCAGAAATGGTAAAACTGATATAAAGCGCTGGTGCTTGTGCTAGGGCTCACAAGGATGCTAGCCGTCAACACTGATACACAAATAAACCTTAGCGGATTGTGCCTAACTGCAATTGACGTTAACCCGACATGACGGCTGCATCATAGGAGTACCTATGTAATGCTTATAAAATTTCATAGCCAGTACTGCAACTAGAGTTGACATTTCACGGACATGGGGGTTATTTGCAAAGTATTTACGAGACCTGGTATATCTTAGTGGTAGAATACGTGACTGCCACACACAATGCTAGAGTTCAATTCCTGCTGGGGCACTGGCATTTTTCTTTGCATTCGTTCAGTCGACATTGCCTATGTTAGCTTTTTCTTAGCGCTCAAGCGTTCAAATTACTCATGGGTGTTCTCGCTGTTCCAGGTAAATATAAAATGTCTATCACCTGTGGCACATGCCCACGCCCGGGTATGTGCCACTTTTTTTTGGAAACTGTTTTGATGACATACACGATGAGATTGTGACATTATTCATGTCATGACCAGCGTGTCATAATCGTCAAAGCATCTTACCTACCTGTACTAACTTTTGTGTACCCCAAGTTAAAAGGAGTACACCAAAATCAATCTATTTGGAATGTGCGCGGCAGAAAAGTTCGCTGTAAAGAAGTTCTGACCACTTTGCTGGCCTCACATTTTAGTCAATTATATCCGAATGTCCTTTGTACCAGAATCCATAGTAAACGAAGCTCAATCAGCGGAACACATAGGGAAGTCGACATAACCCTGCAAACTAGTATGTACTAGTATCCGAATGTCTGTTGTAAGCGGATCCGTTATAGCGAGGTTATAATGCACTTATGTTATGCCAAAGAGCAGCCTTTCAAATTGGAAAAAAACAAAAAAAACAAAACAAAACAAAAAAAAACACTCTTGAATGAGCTCAGAAAGTTCTCCAACTGCAGTTCACACACTGCAAATTATATTGAATGAGCACACAATATTTCCATCCGCGAATGACTCACACCCGAATTCGAATGTTCTGCGCAGAAAACAACAAACGAGTGTGGCTGAGAACACTTTTATTAGGCGGGGCGTGCTGAATGCTGTACAGAATATCATTTTCAAAAACAATGACGAAGACTGTGTCCGTCAGGCGACGTAGCAATACTCGTCGGTGGAGTTTGGCGTCCTCTCAAGATACTGCTTGTCGATCAAAGCCTCGATGCACTTTTTGATCATGGCAATGCTGGGCACAAACCGGTTCTTAGCTTGACTGATCACCTGCGGTGAGCAAAGAGCAGGAGCAACATCGTTAACTATGTAAAGTCAATGCAAGATCATTGTGCAAATTATTTCCAAAGTAACATCAAAGCAATTTATATTCTTTTTCTATAGGTAGTGGCTTAATATAGGCATTGCAACTATGTTACTGTGTTGAACATTTTTCTATTATAATTTTATTTTCAACGACTTTAGCACTGATGTCAAAAATGAGCATGGAAAGTTCATACAGTTGCTCTCGCAATAGAAGCTTTTTGCAAATATTTTAAGCATATATTTGCTGCAAATATGCAGTTTTATTGCATTACTGCATTTCTTGCTCACCTCTAAAAATGTTGCGTAAAATTTACTTTCTCATAATAAACACAACCCTGACTTTGCTACCTTTTCTCGAAAAAAAAAAAAAAAGCATTTTTTACGCTAGTTAATATAGCAACAACATGCTTACTCGGCAAATCCTAAAATCCGCCTTCCTCCATTAAACCGGGACTGCAACTTGACATATTATGGACTTCAGATAGAGCGAACTCTTTTTAGTTAGATTATTGCTCTCCACTGTAACAAGGCTTGTCTGCCAAGGGTCATCTCTAAGTGCACTTGTTGATTGATACACTTATCTATTACGTAAAATGAATCTGGGCATGGCTTGGCAATAAACGCTACCAGAGTTGTCTTGTACACAGTCGTTTGTGAGCCAAGCCTGCCCTATACTTGCATAAGTTACTTATTTCAATGGACGCATCACTTCACTTGATCTCCTGCGATTCTTTAGTTGGATACAACTTCAAAAGTAGGCAGCATTTCCTTTCTGTCAAAGGTAAATGCACACAAGCCAGAACCGATGAGCAGGGTCTTCAGATTGACGTTACGGGCCAGACGGTCAGTGAGCGTGCCTTCGATGCATACAGCGAAGAGAGCATGATCGGGGCTATTTCTTAAAGCTGCCGTGCAACACTTTTTCAGCAGAGTCATTAAACAGTGCCAATTGGTAATCGAAGCTCTTGAGAATACGCGAGCCACGCGTTGCAACACAGCATGCAGCCTGAAATTCGCAATTAATAGTCGAGTCAGTTAAAAATCACTCCCTCTTCACTCTACCAATGATGTCACATACTCAAATGACCACACCATATATCCAAGTCAATGGCCATAGGCTAACGAGCTGCATACTTACTGCACCCACTGCAAAAAGCTGCCACATGACCGCGCTTGCGATTTCACTGAAGGCTAGTCACGCATTGAAAGAAAAGATAAATGTGCTAAAAGTAATGACACGCATGACACAACTTCTTTCCCCCTCCTTATTGAGCTTCCAGTGTGTTGATTGAGATAAGGGAAGAGAGAAAGCAATTACAGTGTGCGACAAGTCTTTGTAACTTTGCTCGTACTGGATTTGAAAAATTGTAGCATCGGTGGACTCGGGAGGCACTGAACTTCTTTAGTGAAGTCACTCGACGGTTACTGAAAGAAGTGTCGTAGGGCCACTTTGAGTGATGAAGGTATTAGGCTGCTGTGCTTTGGTCATCTGAGAGGGGCCAACTATAGGCTCTGTCCTCAGCATATCACTGCATTAGAACTATGGGCTACCTTCCCAACTTCCCTCGTTCCCCCAGACTACCATCTACGTAGTAGCAGCAGTGCGTATCATCATCTTTGCATTACTGCATGCCCACCAGTGCTTGTCCCATTCACTTCCATAGTTTTCAGACAGCAAGAGTTGATGCTTGAAACTGTTAGTATCGCATGTTTTACTTGTACAGCAATGGAAGGGAGGCACTGTGGATGGCACACAATGCTGTGTCTTCTCACAATCTGTTGAGAGAAGGTGGTCACAAGGTGGCGAGATGGGAGGTGATTAATACTGAGTGGCTAATAAAGAGCATGGAGCTTCTTAAATCACCTAGAGGGGACTCTGGCGCTGCAATCGTTCAGCGACCTTGGGAATGATGGGCAGTACACGAATTCACCTAGTCTTTGTACTTGGGGATGGCGAAGCGCACTCGTGGCTTCGTTTATTGCCGTGTTTCTGTTTTATTTTGAAGGAAGGAACGGACCCTTTTTAACTTCGTGAACAGATTTGAAATGGTAAGCCTAAAATATTAAGGTGGTGAAGCCCGACCGCTGAAATTTGCTGATTGTTGTTTCGTGACAAAGCAGCTTCAAGCCTACGCAAAGCCAAAGGAACGTAAAGTACGAAGACTAGGAAAATCCGTAGCAACTGCTCATAATCCCCATGCTCCCTGAAGCTCCATACGTCGCAGCTCCCATAGACACTAGCGCCAGAGTTATTTCTAGTGTATATTTAAGAAACTCTACAATAAAAAGAGTCCTAAGCTAGATGCACTCAAACTTCGACAAAACGAACCCAGATACAGTAGAATCTCGACGATACAATTACGACTGATACGAATTTCTAGTATTGTGTAATTACTTTATTGTTTTGAATATTACTGTATTCAAATTTGCTTTGATCCGAATTTGAATTGTTGAAAATTTCAAAGTATTCGAAATGAACGAATAGACGTCTGTTAGTACACATGTACCCCTGTACATGTGGTTTCACCGCAGTGAATAGGTGCTAAGCGGTGAAAGCACCTATCAAAATGTATGTTTGCTCGCAATTTTCTGTAAAAGTGGTTTCACTACAGAAAAAGGGTGCAAAGCCACGGAAACACTACTTCAGGGGAAATCCAGGTTGTCGCGAAGCCCCCTTTCAAGATTAAATTAACATATTGCCCTCGCATTGATTCATTATTTTTTAAGCTTAAAAGCTTATTATACTAGCTTATATGCTCTAAGTACAGTAAATATTAAAATGTAACATATTTTACAGGTTGTCACTCACATTCTACCGAAAGTCCAATCCTGTCACTATTTAAAGTTGTTTCCACTTAATTGAATCAAACAGAATGGCATTTGTACAGACCTTGTTTCAATTTAAAAAAAAATATTGTGCAGGTTGGTTGGGTCATAAAAAAATGTGCCCATTTTTTGAATAATATGCGATGTGTACTACTCGAATCCGATTCCAAATTATTTGACCAAGATCACTATTGTCTTTGAACTCAAAATTCACTATTTGTTCAAGCCTACGACTTTCACGATGGTACGAATTTTAAGGCTGCTTCAGATGGACTTAATTATATAAAATACACTGTGATTCATTGTTATACAAATGATTTCCCCAGCCATCGCGGATGGTACGAACGCGTTACTGACCACTGCACGCCAATGGGAGAAATGCCCGTTCACACTTGGCCTCGAAGGGAGTGAAAGCGGCAAAACTCACTAGAATTTTGCTGGCTTTGTCGCCTAAGTGGCCAGAAACCACGCTGCAAGGCTGATGCGAAAAATATCGGTTCAAGACCAATTTTTTCACTACGCGATAACAGATCGCCTTCTTGCTTCATGGCTTTGGCCACACCGGCTGCACTAGCTCTCAAACAGAATGATGTAAGCAATGAGCTGCAAATTCAACGTGGCGGTAAAGGCGTTGGCTCGCATCGGCGCAATCGTGAACTACCTGTGCAGCACGACAATGCTCACGGCCTTGGCAAAGGACCCATTCATTGAGAGCCTCGTTTGGATTACAATCGCAGCGTACATTGTAAGTAGAAGGTGCAGCAGCAGCGAGTCTGCATACCGTAACCTGTCTCGCTTTTGGCCTGCCTGCTGAATGCATTGCCGCTGCTACTGGTGCGTCTGCTTGAGTTGTTTCTGCCGGCGTATCTCCCGAAACAATGTTTGTACAGGCGTAAACCGTTTCTTTTCAGTCTTAACCAGGAAAAAAACACAATAGGCTCGCACCAAGTTCAAAAGAACACCATGGACTCTTCCTCAAAATGAAGTAGTTCATCTCAATGAAGAATAATTCTTGTTCGCCGTCATGATCAACTTTCAGTTGATCAAATTCAGGATGATACGAATATTTTGCACGCTCCCTTCGAATTCTTATCATCGAGATTCTACTGTATAATAAAATATCATTTATAATGAAATAAATAAAAAGTAGTCTTGCAACAGATACATAATACTTAATCCCGTAATTCTCGGACTGCCCACTTTTCCCCCTCCCCCCAAAAAAACAAAAATAAGATTTTTTTCGCAAGTAGTCATTGCACTCCCAAAAATCGCAGCCGTAATGTCATCTACTCCTTCCAACCACTCACTGGTGATGGTAGCGCACGACAGCCTGGTGCCATCTCTAAGCATTGTGTGCACTATCAATGCACGAAGCCCCGATCCAATCCAAGCTAAGCCAAAGTGGCCAGTACATGTTGCAGTGAGTTCGTGTTCGTTGTGTTTGTTCTGTGGTTACGCTGTAGTTACAATATGGGATGATACGGAAGCTTAGCAGCTGCTATCGAGCTGAAGGTGATTGATCGTGCACTAAACAATAGCAACAGGGCCACCGACAGGCTCTTTGGAGTAGATGGCTTTTTTGTTTGCTACTGGCGACAGTAGCATGGGCAGCTGAATACTACCAAGACACGCTGGGCTTTCTCTGAACTTTGTTTCGTCAGAAGGTAACTGTGGACGCGTTAGATGGCCATCAGCTCAAGGTTGACGTCATACGCTAACCCTTTATGGGCTCTCATTGAGTGATGAACGCTCAAGCTACACCCCCAAGCTCTGTGTACAGTATTCTAAAGTTCTGCTATTTGCTTACGCTTTTGTGTCTCAAATAAATCCTGCCTTGTGTTGAACCTGTGGTTTTATTGCTAAGGTTATGTCTTGCTTAGTATTTCTCAAAGCTTGCAGGTTGTTGCTAGCGTGAGAATCCCCATTTGCGGCCACTTCATTTTTTTCCCTTTGCTTCGCCCAGTTTTTGCAAAAAAATTTTCCTCACGTGATTCTTGCACCCCCCAACTTTTCATCACTTTCTCGCAAGAAAAAAAAAGTGCAAGGATTATGCGAGTAAATACGGCGGTGTTTGGAATATACCTTTATAATAAATTTTCCGATATAACTAGTTTATTTTTGTGTAACATGAAACTTTGTTTTAATGAGGTTTGAGTGTACACCACGACAACATGACTTACACTGACAAGCTCCATTGTCAAAACTTGACTCCAGCATGAGACATTCTTTGTTGAACCAGTATAAAACAAAGGTGTGGCTAGCTGTGCATCCTTACATGGATCATGATTGGTGTTCACAATGCAGACGTATTACAAAAAATTACATACTGCCAGAGAGTGACAGCACTATTTTGTTCTCTGCTTGTCTAATATTCTCAAACGTCGAAATGCATTGCAAATGCTACAAAAAAAATAAACAACATAAACTTGCCCAATCTACCAATCCTGCAACTTGTGTAGTCCACTACACTCTCAAAACACCCATTAACTTTAACCTAGAGGCAGTCAGAACATACGAAGTGGTAAATTTTGCAGCAGAGAGCAAAAGAAAAGAGACGGACCTCCTGAATGAGCGTGTTATGCCTGAGCACCTTTCGGGCCTTCATGATGCGCACGACAGCCGCCTGCAGGTACAGCTTGCGGTCTTCTTCCACAGAGCTGTGCGTCTGCTCCAGTTCTTGCTACAGATAAAAGGCAAGCAGTATTGTCATTCATTGTGCAACTAACAGCACACACTCTCACTGTAATGTTTCTTTGTAATAACTCACAGGCTATGTCTTCAGGAAAAATGTGGTTGCAACGGCATCACAAAAAGGGAAGAGATGCTAACAGAGGTCCCACGAAGCATTTCATACAGTTTAAAGGGGTACAAAGAGAAAAACTTTGGCCTGGTGTTTTTTTGCGGCAATGTGTTGCTGGGGCCCTGTTAGTCATAGCACAGCACCTTGTTTGCTGCTGCACACAACAGATAAATAATTACAGGCCCTTCATTATGGACCAGTTTCAGTTTCGGTTTGAGAGAGCTCCAAAAACGGCAAGCCGCCGAGTGAAACTATCTCCACCTAGCGTGTGCAGCTCTCGAACACGTCAGCACACAGAACTGCGATGCACTTACGCACAGTCCACTTCAATGATTCATTTTGAATAGGAAATGAAACTGCCGTGTCGCCAAACACAAGGCCTTCAACACTTGTGCCGCGGCTTCGCGCGCGAACAGCCGCCGAGAAATATGGACTGCTGGAACAAACACAGCAAAAGAAAAATAGTGGCTACGACATCGTGATAAGTTGCTTTATTGACTGCAGCGTGGTGACGTGAGGGAAGTAAGGGGTCCCTTTAGGTGGTTCCTTCAATATTCAAACTTCAAATTGCTGTAAAGTACCTTCCAAGTTATGCTCGCTGTTGATATTTTGCAGATAATAGCATATGCATGTTCACGGGAATTGACCATGCAGGCTATCTCGGCCATCGGATTTTGTGTTCGTACCCCATTAACTTAGCGAAGCATAGACGACAGCTACAGTTGCTGCAACAACTGAAACAGAAAAGAAGCAGAAGATAGATGCGACAGCATGCAGAAGAATAATACATAGCTACACTTTTAAAAGTGTCACGATTGTGAACAATGCTTGCACACCACCTCAAACTTTGGCAGTAGCAAGTATGTGCCGATATTTCTTTTTTACTATGTCAGTTGACTCCTAGTTTCAAGAACAAGAGGCTATTCAAGGATGGCACATTTCTGTTCGGCACATTTCTGTTCAAGAAACTTTTATACTAGAATTGTTATAACATGGTAAGAATCGTAAGTAGTGTGTGTGTGAACGTTTTTATAATTTGCAATGTCTTTGCTGAGGTATACTGCTAGTTTTTTCAGTAAATTCTATAGTAAACATCAATTACATGTTACCCTGGCAACACCGCTTTAAAAAAAGCCAACACGTCTACATTTGTTCTACACACTAAACTTGCTGCGGCATGTGACCACACCTTTTGCCTGACACACAAAGTTTGTCATAAAGTGTAGCCCCATATACTCGATCCTAAACTGCTACCACACCACAAAACTTAGGTGCTGGTGTAAAAGTGCATCTAATACTGTAAGTAGTTGAAACACCTTTTACTTCACCCACAAAGTTTGCTGTAAAATTCAGCCCCACATATTCCTACCTAATTTGTTTCCACACCACAAACTGCAGTGCTGGCGTTGAAGCGCATCTGACACAGTATGTAGCCAAGAGTTCTCACCTGAGCTGCTTCCTTCTGGATAACTGCAGAGATCTTAAACTTCGTCCGCTTGTTGGAGTAAGACTTATTCAAATGTAGTACTGTGGATGGCGTCAGAGGACCCTCCTGGAAATCACATTATGGCCATAAGTGAATGCAAGCCAAAACGGGCTGCCAATGCGAATGCTTGCTTTTCGTTCATCGATACGTATTTCTCTTTTACCACTGATTACCAGTGATTTTACCACTCATAAATAACATAGACAAAATGAAAGAATGAGCAAGAACCCTTCCTTCATGCAAGTCACTTGATGGGCAGCACTACAGCAAGCACCTGTTACTAATTCAAACAATGAAAATATTTGTACACGGAATAATCCAAGTACGCTTTGGCCAGCGAATTGGGCAGTGCACTGCGCTTGACAAGCCAACAGATTGATCCCACATGATAACACTTATTGCATGGTTGTGTATTCCTGGTGATACAGAGCATACATATGTACCTGCACATATAATATGCCTAGAATATATTTAAAACTTGACAATCTAATGAAGGTGCGAGCTACAGTAAAATGCAGTGAAACAGTGTTGGTCTCATGCCAGTATGGTTGTTATCCATATCATTGCTTTATTACTGACAAAGGGCACATATGTAACACATGCAGCGGGGAGTAACTTCATTTCAACTAGGTCCATGCAGGCCTCACGCATACTCTCCAAAACGTGCACACGCTAGGCTTGTGCGAATGGTGAATTTTAGGTTCGAAGCGAATTCAATGCAAATAGCAATTTTGTTCAAATAATTTCAAATCGAATTCGAATAGCATATACGACATACCGTATTTACTCGCATAATCGGCGCACTCGCATAATACGTGCACCCTTAGTTTGGTCGCGGAAAATTCGATTTTTTTTAATTCCGCGCATAATAGGCGCACCCCGAACTTGGCCGAGATCAGAAACGATTCTACCCCCCAGCGGTACAGTTGGAACGCGGTCCCCGTATTCTGAAGAAAAAAAAAAGGCAAATCGACGAGCAAATAAAAAAAATTCGAAGTGCAACGACCTAACCAACGTGTTTGTCGAAATAAAACTTGAAAAAAAAAAAGCGTCCATGAGCGAAAAAAAAAAACGGCTGTTCCATCAATTACTGATACCCCCCAAATCGCCAACACCACCATCAGGAAAAAAGAAAGAAACGCCATTTTGCAAGTGGTGTGCGTATGTTGTGGTCGTGTATTGAACTTTGGTTCCACCATGGGGAAGTACGCGAGCTACACGGCTGGGTTTAAACTGAAGGCAGTGCAGTACGCGCTGGAGCACGGCAACCGGGCTGCAAGCAGGCATTTCGGCGTTGGAGAAACCAGTATTCGGTATGACGGGCTTTCCGCGGTGCCAAGACCGGCAGGTATCCGAACGTCGAAGAGCAACTGGTCCGGCATATACGGGAGCTACGACAAGACGGCTGTGCTGTGTCGTTAGATATTGTGCAGACTGAGGCGCGCAGAATAGCCCGAGCGCAGGACATCGAAGCAAAAAAGTTCAAAGCCAGCTTCGGATGGACAACTCGTTTCATGCGGCGCCATGACCTCGCAGTGCGAAGGCGGACCACCTTGTGCCAGCGCTTGCCCGCAGCATATGAGGACAAAGTGGTGGACTTCCACAGTTTTGTTATAAAGCTCCGACAGCAAAAAGACTTCATTTTGTCCCAGATCGGCAACGCTGATCAGACCCCCCTTTGCTTTGATATGCCGCGGAACACGACAGTGGAGGAGAAAGGTGGACGGAGCGTCATCGTCAGAATGTCTGGCGCTGATAAACAACGATGCACCGTAATGCTGGCGGTGACAGCGGATGGGCGTAAGCTACCGCCTTACGTTATTTTTAACTCCCAAAGGCAAAATTCCCTCAAGGCATCTACTTCAGAGTCCAGGAAAAAGGCTGGATGAGCGCGGAACTCATGGTGGATTGGGTGAAAACAGTCTGGGGTCGGCGGCCGAATGGTCTGTTGTTGCCGTCCATGCTTGTCCTGGACAGTTTTCGTGGGCACCTAGTAGACCGCGTACGAGATGAGCTAAAGGAGCTGCACACAGATCTGGTAGTGATTCCGGGCGGCCTCACATCTATACTGCAGCCTTTGGACGTGTCCTTGAATAAACCTTTCAAGGACAATGTTCGAAGGTTGTACACCACCTGGATGGCTGGAGGACCACATCAGCTGACTACAGGTGGTAAGATTAAGAGGCCGCCTGTGGAAATGCTGTGCGCTTGGATCGTGGAAGCGTGGCAGGCTATCTCCGACGAAGTTGTCAGGAAAAGCTTCAAGAAGACGGGTATCTCGAACGCACTGGATGCGAGTGAGGATGACATGTTGTGGGGTGCGGATGATTCGGACACCGAAAACGAATCCCCGCTCGGCGAGGATGAATGTGTGATCTCCGACTCAGACTCCGAATAGGGAAAAGTAGGAACAGCTACGACTTTTGTGTAAATAAATTTTACGTGTGTGTGTGCAGTTGACGGCTCTTGCTTGTTCATTAAAAGGTACGTAGGTATGTTTGTTTTATGCTGAATTAATTGGTAAACGATAAAGTCGCCTTTTACTTGACAAGTGTGCAGATTTAAAGCGCGAGAACCGTGTTGAAAAAATTTTCGAAAATTTTACCCCGCGTAATTGGCGCACCCCTAACTTCGAGCCGGATTTTCTGAAAAAAAAAAAAAAAGTGTGCCTATTATGCGAGTAAATACGGTATAAAGATAAATGGGCCTATTTATCATGACCTAACTAACCTGCACGACTTGAAATTATGTCTCTAGCCCCGCCGCGGTGGTCTAGTGGCTAAGGTACTCGGCTGCCGACCCGCAGGTCGCAAGATCGAATCCAGGCTGCGACGGCTGCATTTCTGATGAAGGTGGAAATGTTGTAGGCCCGTGTGCTCAAATTTGGGCGCACTTAAAGAACCCCAGGTGGTCTAAATTTCCAGAGCCCTCCACCACGGCGTTTCTTATAATCATATGGTGGTGGTTTTAGGACATTAAACCCCACATATCAGTCAATGAGGTCTCTAGGCATATGCCCTTTTTTTTCGTTCAAAGGAAGTCTAAACAACTTTGAGTAGTAGCAGGATTTGACTTTCAGTAGGATGCGAGTGATCACAAGTAAAATATGTAACATTTTAAAATTCATTATAGTTAGAGCATATAAGCCGTCGTAACAAGCTTTTAAGCTTAAAAAATGATAAATTGATTTGAAGGTAATATGTTCATTACCTTCAAATTATGTGCACTCTTAAATTATGACAGGTAAATTGCCACTATCCCTCAAAAGGAAGGTAAATAACAGCTGTATCTTGCCGGTACATAGCTACGCAGCAGAAACCTGGAGACTTACAAAGAGGGTTCAGCTTAAATTGAGGACGAGGCAGCGAGCAATGGAAAGAAAAATGGTAGTTGTAACCTTAAGAGACAAGTGAGGAGAGTGGATTAGGGAATAAACGGGGGTTAAGGATATCATAGCTGAAATCAAGAAGAAGAAATGGACATGGGCCGGGCATGTAGCGCATAGACAGGATAAACGCTGGTCATTAAGGGTAACTAACTGGATTTCCAGAGAAGGCAAGCGGGTTAGGGGGAGACAGAAGGTTAGGTGGGCAGATGAGATTAAGAAGTTTGAGGGAATAAATTGGCAGCAGCAAGCACAGGACCGGGATAACTGGCGGAACATGGGAGAGGCCTTTGTCCTGCAGTGGACGTAGTCAGGCTGATGATGATGATGACGTTCATTTAAAGGGGCCCTGCAGCACTTTTTCAAGTAGCCATGGAATGAATTCACTAAAGAAGCTTATTGCCTTACAAATTCACCCCCTTAAAGACTTTCAGAAGCCGTCCAGTGCCAGCGGAGTTGCGAAAATTTGCTGCATGCTGCAATTGCATTCTCTCTTGCACGTCATGCGAGCCTCGTGACCTTGAGCACTTTCTCTTTTTTTGCTTCGTATACGTCGCTTTTCTTCACTACTGCGGCTGCCCCAGTAACGGCCGAGCACCCCATGCTCAAATCAGCCAATGGCTGACACAATGGCTGGGACGAGTGAGCTTATAATGTCATTCGCCGAGAGGAGAAAGCGAGTTTTAGCTGACCATAAAAAATTTATTGTCAATTGCAGGCCGCATGCGGCGCTATAATGTTTGGCTAGCGTGTGCACGGTAGCCTCGACCACCGACCGGTAGCGTCTTCCGAAAAAAGAAATTCTAAAAGAAGCTTCGCGGCACAGCGTATTTCCCCTGGATAGGTGCTTTCACGGCTTAGCACTTCTACACTAAAAGTGAAACCATCTTTACAGGTGGTTACATGCGGACTAATATACACCTATTTGTTCGTATTCGCAATATTCGTTCGTATTCGTAATATTCGTTCGTAATATTCGTTCGTATTCGTAATATACACCTATTCATGGTGCACACCATGATTTTAAATAAGTTCTAGGCTATATTGGTTACCAATATGTTATAGACTATACACATATAGCACATTGGAATGGCCTCCCAGATCACATCGTATCTATCTGTAATCGTGAAACTTCTCATGATAACCTGCTTTCATTGCGTTTTATTATTGTATAACTTTGTTGCGCCTTACTGTTTATTACTTGTATTCTTTTATTGTTTCCTTGTACTTTTTTGCTGTTTGTATTTTTTTGCTATTTATATACTGATGCTCCCCTTACTCAATTTCTTTAAGGGGGGACGCGGCCTTTGAAAACCGAAAAATCGCGAAAAAGTCGATTTTTGGCAAACCACATATTCAGGCAGTATGTGTCATAAACTACCTTTTCTGTAAATATCAACGTCTAATTCGTCGCGAAACCATTTGAAATAAAGTTTAGAACATGCCGCGGCGGCCTTCGAGCGGCGCGCGAGCGCTCAAAATACCCCAACTTGGCGTGATCGCAGTTTCTCGACCGCTCGACGGAGCACTGCCATTTTGGTGTTGTTTTGTTTGTGAATTCTTGCTCTTTCTTTCCCCGCCACCTGCGTCGCCAGCGGCAGCGCAGGAGAGGAGCAAGCCGCTCATGATTGGAGGGCTCGCGAGAGCTTTCAAGTTTCCCGCGGCTGAGGCGCGCAGCTGGGATTGGGCGAAGCGCGCGCTCCCCAAGGACGCGGGGGTGCCCGCGACTGCGCGACTGCCATTGGCTGCAGCGCGCGATGACGTAGCGCTCTTGCGCATAATGCGGCCGCTCGTCTGCTGCTCCTCCGTCCGGCGTCTTTGTGTTCCGCTCGCTTCCGTGTATCGTTGCAGCCGTTCGCATACTCTCCACGTTTCAACTGTCTTTGAAACGATTTTCAACCGTCTTTACGAGACGATTTTCAACCGTCTATACGAGACCATTGTTGTGTTCGCTCACGATGCGCCCAACGAAAAAGAAGACGCTACAATCGTTCGGTGCAAGGAAGCGAGCTATGAAGCTTGTCCGCGCGGCGAGGCTCTCCGCTCGCACGTGCGCCGACGGTGATCGCGCCGACGGTACCTGTGGGGCAGCTTCTGCTTCATCTACGCAAGAGAGTGGTCGCATCGACGTGCCTAGCAACGGGACTCCTGCTCCGCCGGTGCAAGAATTTGTCGTTACAAGTGCGCCTGGTGTCTCGTGCTCATCGACAGTGGCTTCCGCATCTTCTCTTTCATCGGCCTCGAGTGCGATCGCGTCGTCAACTGTGCATTTGCGAACAAGTTTCCTGACGTGCGAGGAGAAAGAGGCGGCGGATCAACAACGTGCTGCTGTGCAAAGAGAACTTGGCGCTATGCCAGCGACGGAGCGGAAATTTCAGGCGATGGAGCGCGATCATGAAGCTGCCACCGCTACAAGTGAAGGCAAAAAATTTTTCCTTGTGCAAATGAATGCCCTAGACGACCTGCTATCTCGAAACCCGTGCCACCGGTGCACCGCGATTGGGATGAAGGTACGAGGAGGCACCCAACTTGGACTTGCTGCAAAGCTTGAGCTAGTATGCTTGCATTGTGGAGTAGTTTCAAGCTCATGGAGTTCATCTCGTCAGGATGACACAAAGGTCTTTGATGTGAATGTAAGAGCCATTATGGCAACAAAACAAATAGGCAAGGGACAAACAGCTCTCAACGACTTTTGGGCAGCGATGAACGTGTCCCATCGTGGCCTCCATCACAAGACCTTTCAGAAGCACCTGAAGAAATTCAGGGAACCGCAGACACAATGCATAGAAAATTTCTATGCAGAATCTGCTTCTGCTGTAAAAGCCACTTACAAAGAAATGGATCAATATTTCACCAGGGATATAACAGTTTGTTATGATGGAACATGGCACAAGCGTGGGCACACATCCCATATTGGAGTCGGGGCAATTATCGAATACCATACGGGCCTTATCTTGGACGCCGTTGTTCTGTCTAATCAGTGCCTTGGTTGCCAAATAGGGCCAAAGCCTGGAGACGCAGACTATGCATGCTGGCTGGAGAATCATGTGTGCCAGAAAAACACCGACTCTAAATCAGGGAGAATGGAGGTTGAGGCAGCTATCATCCTCTTTTCACGCTCACTGTCGAAGCACAACCTCCGTTACACAACGCTCGTGTCTGATGGAGGTAGTGCCACCTTCTCTGCCCTTGTACAAGAAAATGTTTATGGACTGGTCCCCATTTCAAAAGAGGAATGCCTGAACCACGTTCAGAAGAGGATGGGGACCGCACTTGGCAACCTTGTGCAGAAAAGTGACAAGGCTTTGGGAGGGAAGGGCAGGCTGACAAAGGCCCTCATCGACAAGTTGACAGATTATTATGGCTGGGCCCTACGGAACAATTCCGATGATGTGGCTGCAATGCGGCGGGCAGTGATGGCATCGTACCACCATGTGACGTCGACGGATGAGGAGCCGCACCACGACTTGTGCCCAGAGGGTGCAGACTCCTGGTGTCGTCACAATGCCGGCAAGATTACCGGTGTTCCACCTCCGAAGCATTCGTACAAGCTGCCACGCTATGTTGCAGATGCACTTCTACCCATTTATGAGAGGCTCTCACAGGCTTCTCTACCCATTTATGAGAGGCTCTCACAGGCTTCTCTTCTGCAACGCTGCCTGGGAGCAAAGACGCAGAATGCATCAGAGTCCTTTCACTCTGTGCTGTGGTCCCTCATGCCCAAAGAGCAGCATGCGTCACTGATTGCTGTGGAGACAGCACTGCATGATGCAGTGCTAAGATACAATGCTGGCTGCTACAGGGCCACCCAACAGCTAGCTTCATCAGTGGGGCTAACACCTGGCCACCTGGCCATTCAACGGGCAGCCGAGAAAGATTCTCTGCGCTTGAAAAAGGCTAAGAAGCGATCCCTAGAGAAGATGGAAAGGCGGCAAAGAAAGAGAGTGCCAAAGGACACCTCCAGTTACGCTGCAGGTTCATTTTAGAACTGCCTATGTGCTCAAAACTTTCAAACGTCGTTTTCTCAAAATGACTTTTTTGGCTAGTGAGGCTGCTTATTCCAGCCATATCTCTGGAACCACTCATTGGATTTCCATAAGTCTTTTTTTATTATGTACATGAATAAATTTCTGAGGGGGTGACAAGCCCATTTTTTCAATATATTGTGTGTGTTATTTATTATATTTAATCAAAATTTGATTGATAATATCCTAATCACGAACACAAAGTTTGATGGTCTGCTAAAACTTTTCAGCAAGAAAATTCAAAAAAGGGCTCTGTTACCCCCTGGAGTATCAATCTGGGAATCATCATAGTTAATTTCACAGTTTCAGCACCTTTTGAAAGTTCTCCAGGCCTGGAATAAGAGAACCATGTGCACTACCCTGATATTCTGCTGTAACTTGAAAACCAGTGAACATAACTTGATGAAATTTTGTAGTTCTTCTAATGCTTTTGCTATAAGTCTATCCTGAAAATTTCATTAAGATATCTCAATGAACAAAAAAGTTGGTATCCGATGGTAGCCTCCCCCCTTAATGGGCCTGTAGGGTATCTTGAATAAATGAATAAATAAATACGTATAGATCCACACAACTTTATCTCCCAAGTTATCTCGTCTTTACAATTTCATGCCAGCATGTCTTTAAAGGGGCTACAAAATGCTTTGTTCAAGTAACCATGGAATGAATTCCCTAAAAGAACTTGATGCCTTACGAATTCAGCACTATAAAAGTTTTAAGAATCCGACCAATACGAGCAGAGTTACAAAAATTTGTCGCATGCTGCAATCGAATTCTTTCTTCTTTTGTCCCAAGGAAAGGGCTAGAAGCTAAGCAGGGGGGGATGGCAGGGGCAAAGAAAATATGTTAGGTGCACCTCGCGACCTTTGGCACTTTTTTCTTTTTCTTTAAATACGCAGGTTTTTCATTGCGATTGCACACGCACGCGTGGACAAGTCACGGCCTCCCACGGCAATCCCTGTAACGACTGAGCACGCTATGTTAAAATCAGCCAGTGGATGATAGAAGGTCTTTTATGAGTGATTGTTGAGCTTCTGTTGTCATTTATCGAGAAAAGAGAAAGCAATTTTAGCCAACTTTGATAATTTATTATGAATTCCAGGCCACGTGCTAATATTTGGCTTGCGTGTTGTCGGGAGTCTTTACTACCAATCAACAGCGTTTCCAAAGCATGCTCAAAAAGTGTTGCAGGGCGTAGAGAGGGTTAGAGCAGAGGCAGATGCCGGGATGGGTGAGCCCACCTCGTTGGAGACTAGGAGCCGTGCGTCCAGCAGTCCCTGCAGCTGTCGCAGCAGCTGGTCCTGTGCCAGCCGGGTGGCCTCCTGCAGGTCTCGGATGGCCAAGGAGTCCACGGACTCGAAGGGCAGCAGCAGCGCCATCTGGTAGGTGCCCAGGCTGACCAGGTAGGAGCGGCGCAGGTAGCAGAGCCGCACCTCTGCTTGGCACAGGTGCTGCAGCCAGCTCAGCTTGCGCCCAGAGAACTTGCTCTGGTAGAACTGCTCAAACTGGACAATGCACCGTGCCACGATGGAAACAGGTTAGGAATGGTGTCAGTTTGGTACAAACGTACAGGTGCATACATTTCACTTCTCAATAGAGAGCTGGATCGCAATCCCTTAACATGCAAAGTCTCTTGAAATCCTAAATCTACATGAATGAGAGACATTGAGGAAGGACAGAGGATTGAAGTGACAAGACGTCGCTGCACACAGATTGTTGCTGGAGCCACTGTTTTAACAAGATACTTTTCCTTTGTAAGAACAGTAACAGCCATTATTTGCGGCGTGTATAAGTAAACATTGCTCACTCGTTCCCAAACCCCAAAATAGACAAAGAGAAAGAGCAAAGCAGAGAAAAAAAAGAGAACGCTGTCAAAGATATAGCAGTCAAATTTTGATAGATGGAGGGGTTGACATGACGAGCAAATGGAAGCTATGACAGTCGCACTGATCCCTTCACCTATTAGGCTTTTGCTTTGCCCCATTCTCACAGCCTGTGGGTGTCTGCACAAGTTAATCTTCTCCCTACCATGGCAAAATGAGAACTATAGCAAATGTGCCGAAAATTCTTATTTTGTTCAATTTGTAGAACTTTCTTTTTCCTCTGAATAAAACAGTACTATTGTTTCAATTTAATGGGATTTCTTTATTTCATTACTTTTCAGAAAAAAGATAGCTCTAACATTGCTTTAGCGCATAGAAATAAGAGAAAAAATGAAAATAAAATGAAAGCCGCGACACAAACGGCACAAAATGAACAAGCGCAGGCATCTAGCACCAAGAAACACAAATATGACAAGTGCAGTCCCCCTTTTTTTATTTAGAACCAATTTTTGTTGATGACAATTAAAATCGTCATTAGTCGCTTGGTACAAGCTTTTATATACTCGTTAATGGAAGAAGAAAGGTCAACTTTCAGGGACAGTAGAAAAAAAGACAACAAAATGAATACGCCAGACTTACCTTCTGAACACTTCGTTCTAATTCGAGGGGAATAGCGAAGGGGGACACCGCACTCTGGCCCAGTGGCCATGCTCCGGCCTGAAATGGTGACAAAGGAAAAGGACAACAAAATAAGAATGATTCTGAACAAAGAAAAAAAGATGGGAACCAAAGAAAATAATTAAGGCACTGTTGAACATCACTGTAAAATATAGGATTGGTCAAAGCTGATATTCTCTCAAATCCCTGTTAAACAGGTTCACTTTACATAAGGCAGTTGGGTTATTATCGATGAAAATGAAATCTGAGCTACTAGCTGTCGAGAGAGACAGAGATGTACGGTATGAAGAAAGACAGAGAGGCTAACCAGAAAGCAAGTGTTTGGTTTGCTACTATCCGGCACTGGAGAAGGAGAAATAAAAGACAGAAAAGTAAGAAAAAGGGAATCATGGAAAGAGAGCGGGGCACAAACAAACTAAACATTAAAGTATTAATGCCAGTAAACCAGTGTTGCATGATTTCAATAGAATACCCCTTCTTGCTACACTTCACTGTTAATGTAAGAAGATATTCAGCTGCACTCAAACCTTATTAAATCAAAGTTGCATCTTACAAGAAAAAAAGTTCATTTTATTCGAAAAGTCATCATAAAGGTTATTTCTAGCACTATCTATTGCCAGTCTATATTTCAATTACTTTGTTATAACGAATGTTTCGTTATACCCATGTTTGTTATATTGATGTTTGAGTGTGTAGCTACATTTCTTTCGTGCACAGCAACAAACATATCTACAGTCGACCTCTGATTTCTCGGACCCTTAAGAGACCGAGAAAACGTCCGGTCAAATCGGGAAATCCGGAAAAACGAATGCAAGTGAAAACACACTTTTTTAATTAGTATTTTTCGCTGACTGAGAGGGTCATGGCAGGAGTACAGGATTCTCATTGCGATTCACCAAATGCATCGTTTAGGAAGCTTTGAAAGGAGCCCTTTATGTATGCATATAAAAAACAAACACCAAAGAAGGAAAGAAAAGAGAAAAAAAATTCGATGTGGCTGGCACTACTGCATTTGTAAGTACTTAGGCACAAAAAAAAGAAAGAACAAGAGGAGGTCGCTTATTTTCAATTGCACGTCGTTAAACTTGCCCCCGATGATATCTGCCTCAATTTCAGCAAACATCATGCTGTCACTGTACACCGATGACAATATCAGTGCTCCCGTCAACTCCGCGTTTGTTGGCCGTCAGAGTTGTGAGAATCCTCCGCAACTTGACGTTCGTCATCGGTTGATTCCGCACACAGCTCGAGGTCTAGGTTAGTTTTGGTGAAGCTCTGAAAGGTTATTCCAGCTGGAATCGAAACACCGGTAGCGCGCACGTCATCGATTACAACGTCCGCGGGTGGAAGTTAGTCGCACATGCTGCCCACTCCGGGCGAGACGGCCGTCTAGGGATCCACTATGAAGCTCGCGTGGCGAAAAATGTTCCGAGGGGTGTGTTGTGCAACCACCTTCGACGAGTTTGCAAGCATGCCAACAGCAGACCATAGATCAAGATGAATGCCCTTCGCGAAAGCATTTGAACGAACCAAAATAAACAGAACGAAGAAAGTGTGTTCTTAAACAGTGGCTCGAAATAATTACAGTGAAATGAAACAGCGAGAGACCCATGAGAATGCACCGCTGGCGACCTTATATTTTGAAATGAAAATAATGATGTCGATAGGCTGCTAGTAACTCCAAGTCAGCAGGAGCAAAAACTATTACAAAAGAATGATGACGCAGCACATGGCTAGGCAAAACTACTTTGTATAAGAGCAATTTGTTTTAGCTGCGCACAGCGATACACAGAGATGTAGTATTTGATTATTTTAGAATTGAAATTTGTGCCGACGAAGGCACTCCTACAAAAAGAAGTCTTATAGCGCGAATGGCGGCAGCCCATGTGATGCATAAGGCAGAGGTCAGTAGATTTACTTTGGATGTTTGAAGCTGTAACACGCCGCAATCGATTTTTTTCGCCCCTTACTGGTGATCAATTGAACTTGAGAATGTCCGGGGCCTGGCCACCCTAATGCGGCTGTGGCCACAGATTTGACTAAGCTACGGCTGGCAACGATTTGCGCATTTGCGGTTTCGAGGGTATGGTAGCCGTGGCGCAGTGGGTTCGAAAACAATCAAAATGACGGTGTCGATAGTGACTATAAGTATGCCGTTAGCGGTAGGAAGTCCGAAAAACCGGATGACGAAAGCTATAAACGTCTGAAATTTTCGGGCTTTTTGATATATTGACGCTATGGGGAATTGACGCTGCCACAGATCAGTCAGGGAAATCAGGCACGGCCGGAATTTCGGGTGTCCGAGAAATCAGTTGTTGACTGTAGCTACATTTTTTTCTTGGCAGCTGTCTTAAGACATGAAGATCCCACAAACAAAAACCACAGATGTGATCTTCACATTTGCTATACAAGAAACAAGACACAACTCTTCGAGTAAAGCCACTGCTACTTTTATGCCCCCAATACGAGTACTACTTTTATGCCCCCAATACGAGTACAAAGTGAGAATTTCCTATAGTACACTTTAACACCATGCACAATAGCAACATTCCCTGTTTTAATGAAATAACTTAGATGAAAGTGTGGTGATGCAAAACTGAGAATCGTTTATTTTTGTTAAGACACTGCTAACAATGTTTGCCACATAGACAACCTGGTCATACCTTCTGCGCACGACTCCGTCAGCACATATGCGTAGCTGTTATTATTACTGTCATTTCTTTTTACTCTTGGCCCATTTTCCTCACCTGCAGCACATAGATGGAGAAGTTGATGCCCAAGTCGATGCTCTCAGCTTTCAGAAAAGCGTTGAATTTGTTGTTCAGGTCTGCACTCACACTCATGTCCGTGAACATCCGGTGTAGCTTGCTCGTGAACTCGTAGCCACACGCTTGCTGCAGAGAAAGAACGTATTTGAAGATTTGCTACAACAATACTGCCAACGGGTTTACAAATTGGCCGACAATTTCCTAATGTGCTCAGCAAGGATGTCTTCTGTATCGGATGTTTTGCGTGCAAATACTCGAGCTGGAGCTCGCCAGAATATAGCAACTTGTACATCGCCATCGCTGCATAGCTCTAGTGGGCACCTGGCAGGTACCTAACAGAGTTTACCATGTGAGCAGTGAAGCACCAATAAAAGTAATCCGAGGCCTTAAAAGCCATTTCAAACATGGTTGCATTGTTCTGACCTTATCAAGACAGTAGAAAAGCATGAATTCGCTTTTTTTCAAATCCTTGACTTCTTTAACGATTTCAAGCTTTTTAGGGAGTCTGAAAAATTGTATGTTAACCATACACAGCCAAACCTTTATACAACAGACTTGCAGCTTACATAAAACTAAGTTTGTTATATCCGAAAATTTGTTATAAAGGTATATTACCAACACAGTATCTGCTGCAAAACTATTCTTCATTTACTTCTTTGTAAGCCATATTTCGTTATATCAGGGTCCGTTATATCGAGGTTTGAGTGTATGTGAACATAAAGGTAATTGTTCCCAGAGTTCACAGTGGCTAGACATGAAGGAAAGTATGCCAGAGAGTTCTTCTACAACACGAAGAATGACACACAGTAACAGCAGCACGTGTAGCAGGGTGGTTCCTCCCTTGCAGATAGACCACAAGCGAAGATAGCCTTGCCATTATTTCTGTTGCACACAAAGGCACATATCCCAAGGTAAGGGGCACCTTGGAATCCATTCTTTTTGGCCTCGGTGCTTCATATTCACATAGTAGAACCTCGTTAAACACAACATGAATATACCAAAAATATGTGTTTCGTTTAAGAGAAATTTCATTTACCATCAGATGAACAGGGAGAGTTCTGCTATAACCGCTGTAAGTTCTGCTATACAATTGGAGTACGAAACCAATCATGTTACAGGCAGTAGTTCCATTTAGGCAGCAGTTCTGTTTAAGAGATTTACATTTACTGAAAGCCTACTGCATGTAAGAGTATGCAACAGTAGATTTCATTAACTCGTTTGTCGCCATAAAGCAAGACTAATGTGACAATAATAGTGTGAAACACAAATGGTAATCGTAGAGTCAGTAGTGAAAACATGTTAATGAGGCCTCGTAAAGCATCGCAATGCAATGAAAGTCTGCAGTCGGGTTGGAAACGTTATGTTGAATGCACAGATGGACAGCACGATAATAGCAAGATGGCAAAACTAGTTAGGATTCGTAATAGAGTATAAAACAGCATAAAGAAAAAAAGACCTGGGAAAACAACTAAGCCCTCATTACTGAAAAATATTGAAGCAACGTGGCCATTCAGGCCATAAAGTTCCGATTCACTGTCAAGCATAAAGCAAATAGTTTTGTGCCTTGCTTGTTCCTATACAGTGCGTGTGTGTGTGCAAGTCTGTGCCTTTTGCACGGATTAACACACTATAATAAGGTAGAAGAGAAAAAACTGGACGAGGTGGTGTGGTATAGAATAAAAGGCAAACGCAAGCAGCAAGTTGGCTCACAACTGGCTACATTAACAGACAAGATTGCAGGCCACGGCTGGGTGTTACCACGTATTTTAGGTGCTCGAAATGAGCAGAAACTGGTGCAGACACAACAAATCCTCAGGACACAGATGCACCAGTGCATTTGCTGCTGCTCACACAGCTCCACCACACAGCAAAATCTAAACGGTACCTGAAAGGACTAGGACAACATCATCCAATTTAACGCAAGTTTCACATACCGAGAGATACGCATAAGATACCCCATTTACTTGTGTTATAGATCTACTTACATAATGACCCCCCCACCTTGGTCTTTGAAAAAACAAAACAGTTTTTTAATGTATCTGTTATTGGTGTAATAGCCAGTGCCATTGACGATTGAAACATCCTTAAATCATGCGACTGTGAGTGACCACCACGCCTTGTGTTGGCAAGTTAACTTGAAAGACCGTTCGGGTCGCCTTGCAAGGTGGAGCCTGACACTTCAGGAATTTGACGTTACTATGGTTTACAAGCGTGGAAGAAAACACTCTGACGCCGACTACCTGTCTTGTGCCCCCGTCGAACCACCTTTGCCGGACGATCCCAATATAATGATGAATGAAAAGTGAATGTTTAACAACCATGCTAAACAGTTGCGAGCAGCGCAAGGGTGGACGACGTCAATTAAAATTTCAAAGTCGCGTCTTTCGCGGCAGAGTGCCATCGGTCGAGCTTAAAACAAACATTTTTGCTTATGGCGCTGCGCAAGCACAGTGGCCCAAAAACAAAGCAAAAAACAAAGTGCAACCATGCTAATGGCATGACGTGCAAACTCAAACCCGTATTGTGCATGCGGTACCATCTGATGCCGCGTTTTCGTTCTCAGGTTTGTCGTGGTTAACTTCGTTAAACACTGGCAGCGCAGCGCAATAACGATCGGTACGCTAGCTGCACGGCCGGTTTTAAACCCAGCATGGGAACTGAGCAGCTGGACAGCGTTGATCCAAGCAGCGTCGACCCGTGCGGATTCATTACGAGAGAAAACAAGAAGAGCTTTGGGCTACAAAAAAAAGTTTGTTGCGCATTTCGCCGGCCAAAACAAAGAGAGTTTCCCCTTGTGGTGAGCGAAGTTCTCGAATGGAGACTCTGTAGTCCTGTCGCTGTATTGAAGGCCGGCAGCGTTTAGACAGTGAGTTACTAATACCGTTATGCGAAATTTTCGCTGTTAGAACTCGCATAAGTTTTACAGCAAAAGCTGTTACGAGATCAGAACATGGGTCACGTGCGGCGCTGCAGTTGTCCGCCGCCTTCACGGCTGGTGTCCGTAACCAGTATCGCAAGAAATTAGAAAAATAAACTCAGTAAATAAAAAAAACCGAAGAGACAATGGGATTAAAACCCGGGTACGCTGAGTGCCTGCCCAGTATTCTACTACTGAGCCTCGCCGATGCTTGAAACTCGTTTCTAAACTGGCCTTTGGCAAGCTTGATGTTGGGAAAGGAATCGCGTTATATGAGTAATAAAGCATTTAACATCAAAGGAACAACCAGGTGTCACACAATATGAATTGCGTAACGAGTGGTTTGTCCGATGCTCCAAACCATTAGAAAACTTGTTCTTGATCACCTATTAACTGTGGCGCATACCCACTTCAGGCACAATTCTTCATCATCGTCAGCCACTGCATAGAAAAATTGCGAAAAATTCCTGATTGATTGATATGTGGGGTTTAACGTCCCAAAACCACCATATGATTATGAGAGACGCCGTAGTGGAGGGCTCCGGAAATTTTGACCACCTGGGGTTCTTTAACGTGCACCCAAATCTGAGCACACGGGCCTACAACATTTCCGCCTCCATTGGAAATGCAGCCGCCGCAGCCGGGATTCGAACCCGCGACCTGCGGGTCAGCAGCCGAATACCTTAGCCACTAGACCACCACGGCAGGGCCGCAAAATTCCTACGAAGTCTGTTGCGGATACCACGCTTCTCCAAAGAATCACGAAGGATAGCATGAATGCTGGCTTACTACACAAAATTATGATTATTTATAGTGTAGTAGGTACCCAGTAATTGCGCTTGTAGCAGTTATCCAAAGAGTGTTTAGAAAAGGCTCCGAATGGCCGCTCTTCCAGCTTTCGCTGTGACTGAGCTGGGCAATCCGTGCAGGCTTGGCATTTTTTTTTCCTCCTGCATAATGAGCCCTCCCCCAAGCTGGGGTCAATTTTTCTGAGAAAACAAAAAAAAAAAAAAAGAAGAAGGTGGGTTCCTTACGCGAGTAAATCCGGTATGCATCCAAACACAAAACCAGCCAAAGCAGAAGAATTTATTTAGTAAAGCAGCAGCTCCATTTAAGCGACTTCTGTTTACAGAGATGCTGCTTTATTCAAATACAATACAGTTAAACCTAGATATACCGAAATTGATAAATTCTCGTAAATAGTTGTTACATAGAGGATTTTATTATACTGAGGTTCGGTACGAAATTCAGAATATAAACGTCCAAATTAAACAAAAGGGGGACTGAAAGCATAGCTAACCTAAAACACTTATTTAGCGGTAAAAAATTGCATTATTATTGCGATAAAAGTTGTATGAACACTCTCGGCGGGTTTTTCCTTTCGCCGCCATGTTCCGCAACAAGTATAAATTGATAACATGCTCTCGCGCATCGCGACTTCCTCGAGCGAGTAAAAGCGCGTGAGTGCTGCTGAAGCTCAGATTAAATGAGCCGGCCCATCTCTACTGCCTAAAAGGCGCATACGATAAAATCACCAGCCTGTTAGAACCGCCGCTGAATGCTCAAAAATAAAGGAAATCAACGTCTTCAACGAGCATGAAAAAACGCGGGGGTGGGGTGGGGGGGTGGGGTTGGTCGCTTGAGTAGCAATAACGAGCTTTGATTTTAGGGGCGGTCGTAATTGCTGCAGCACGGACGATCTCTGCAAGTAAGAGCTGTGCGCTTTCAACGCCAAGGGACTGTGCCGAAAGAGAACTTCTTCTGGAGCAACCATATTTGCTAACACCAGCGTTTTGTAGGAATTCCGGGGTATACAGTCGACTCCTCCTAAACGGAACTTAAAGGGGATCCATAAAACTGTTCCATTTATCAGAAGTTTCATTTAAGCAAAGTACATTTATTTAGTGAATCAAAAACTTTATTCAAATTGCACAAACCTCACCTTACTCAAGAGGATGAGTAAGAGAAAAAAAAGGAGTGAAGGGTGGTTTGTTTGGCAATCTTGAATTGTTTTTTCACAAGTACGCACCCATGCTTGAAAAACTAGCCAGAAATTCTGGACAAGCCGCATGCTCAAAATAGCGCTGCAAACGTTCAACAGCCTCTTTAGCTGATAGGTCTGGTGGCACCACTACACCGGATATTTTGTCATCACATTCATTGCTGGACTGTTGATCCTCATCTTGCACTTCAGCAATCATTTCCTCGACAGTCTCCTTACGACAGGTATGAACATTTTCATCAATTGATTCGTAGTCCTGCAGTGTGAAAGGGGCAGACGGCACGACCTCACTGAATACTGCATCAATGTCGGCATCAGCAGGGATTTCTTCTTTATCAGGTATTGCTTCTTGCACTTGAAAGCCAGCATGATGAAAGCATCTGTGTATTGTTGTTTCCTTCACTTGCTCCCAGGCACTAGCCAAAATGTGAATGGCTGCCAATAAATCTATGCTGTCGCATTTCCCGCTGTCTGCACAAGGCAGCATTCGATGGACCTGACCGCAGGCTTGGCAATTATTCATGAAGACAACCTTCCTGCCTTGCCTCATAAGTCTTGCGTCTTCCTTCCTTAGCCAGTTTTTGAAAATAGCCATCCATGGTCATCCACACTCTTCCGTTCGCGTGGTACGCAACAGGAAGGTGTCAATTGCCTTTGAAACAACGTGGGTACCTTGATTTTTCTATTACCAACAGCTTCAATTTCTCATCTCCTGCCATGATCGCACCCACCAGCACAGTGATGCGATCTTTACTGTGTTTCTTTCACTACAGGCTTTGTCTTTGAAGGTGAGAGTCTTCGGTTGAAACGCCTTATAAAAAAGACCCATGTCGTTGACGTTGAAGATGTCTCGTGGCTCAAAGCTCATCACAATTTTCTTAAGCCGTGCCTTTTTCCAGTCGGTGCAAATGTCCCTGCTGATTGCAGCACTCTCACTTAAGATTGCTTTGAAGACTAGGCCATGGGTGTTTTGAAGCGACTGAGCCATCCGTCGCTTAGGACGAAGTTGTCAACATCCATTTGCATAGCAATCTCTCAAGCTTTCTGCATGAGAATTGGTCCACTTATGGGCAAATTGGAACTCCGTGCACGCTTGAACCACAAAAAAAGAACTTTTTCGAGTTGTTCATAAGGCATCATTCGCATTCGCATCCGCATAGATGTATGGGTCCCGTTCTTTAAAGCACCTTCAATTTTTTCTCTGTCTTCGCAGATTCGCGGCAGCGTCCATTTCGTGATGTTGTATTTTTTCGCCACCTCTGTCTTGGGCAGGCCACTTTGATCAAGCTCCTGAAGAATTTGCACTAGTGGCTAAGGTACTCGGCTGCTGACCCGCAGGTCGCGGGTTCGAATCCCGGCTGCGGCGGCTGCATTTCCGATGGAGGCGGAAATGTTGTAGGCCCGTGTGCTCAGATTTGGGTGCTTGTTAAAAAACCCCAGATGGTCGAAATTTCCGGAGCCCTCCACTACGGTGTCTCTCATAATCATATAGTGGTTTTGGGACGTTAAACCCCACATATCAATCAATAAATCAACACAACTGACTCGCCGACTCGACTCCCACAGCCACCACAAGCGAGAATGGCTACTGGATTGGCTTGTCTCGAGGTGTTGCCATGGTTGTGAGACTACCTTTGGCCTGAGCGAGTCTATGCCGTGTTTAGAGTTTGTGCCGTTTAACCGTAGGTGACCAGTAAGCCCTGTTTCGATTAACCGAAGAATTTTACTACGCAACACATAGAAATCCAGTCATATGAGCCCATTTAGTTCTGTTACTGAGGCATTTTCGTTTAAGTGAGTTTCGTTTATTAGGAGCCCACTGTAGGATCCAAAATAGTTGGCTGTCAGCTTTACTTCATATAACATAACAATTTTTCGCTATTGCTTTCATTGTATTGCATTAAACGCACCATCGTGTTGTTGCCAGAACAAATCAGGTAATCGCCAAAGCTACGAGCCTGCGAACTCGCGGCGTGGAGCAAGACAGAATCACATGATGAGTCCACCTCTGAAGGTCCGTCGTCACCATGGTCTCGCAGTGCTTCCATCAGTGCCTAATTTGACATTCCCTTGGTGGTAACGACACGGCTGTCCGCATTAAAAAAATAAAAGCAAGGCTGAGTGTCGTCGGGTGCCACAACATGCGCGCACGGAAACGAAAGGCGAATGACACGGATACCGCAGAAAACTATTCGGTAAAGATCCCTGCATATGCAGCACGGCCCCACATATGTGATGCTGAAAGACGGCCCCACATATGTGAGGATGAAAGAGTGGCACTGCCAATGCATGAGTATTTTTTTCTTTTTTGTTTTTGGTTTTGAGGGAAAAGGCACATCCACGCATGCTCCTGCGGCGGCAAGAACGGCAACGATGCCAACTCGTGGGGCGCAGGTCGGCATGCCCGCCTGGTGCAATAACGAGCGCTCGCTCTCACCTAGTGTACGGTGCGCGCCGCCACCACTTCGCACTTTGTCGGTGTCAAGTGGCCGCATAAGATGCATACTCGTACCAAAATCCCTAAATCTGGGGAAAAATTCCTAGATTGTCTGCGGAGAAAATTCATTATATCAAGGTTGTCTCTTGCTGGTACTTTGTTACATAGAAGTCACAAATACAGTAGAACCTCGATATATCGAACACGGATATATTGAATTATTGCCTATATAGAACGGTTCCTATATCACGCTGGAGATCACATGCATTTTAAATTTTTTATTTCAAACGATGTTTTACGCATAATGGATATACTAAACTCGGCCACCCCAGACCACCAGCGCTCCGTTGACAGGCGGCTTGCTTTCCGGCAACACTCTCGAAACTAGTGGCAGCGCGGTGGGCATTTACGACCACTGCACACATCGATGGTGCAGAGAGTGCCACTTAAACGTGGTGGCGTGCGCACGCCGCATTCTTGCATTGTCGATGGGTCGACGCACTGCACTTGTTGGACTAGCTGCTCCCCGTCGTCGCATCGATCGTTGTGCGCGCAGCCTTGTCTGGCCTTGTTGTGTTCGTGTGTGTGAAGGTAGGCTTGTCACTCGTCATGGTGTGTGTTACGATGGCTGCTAACACTAAGAATCGGACGACTCTGACTTTTGCTTCTAAATTAGAAGCAATCCAGCGTGCCGAGAATAGCGAGAAGAAGTCGAGCGTCGCAGAAGCGTGTGGCATAACAAGGAGCACATTGAGTACTCTGCTCAAAAACAAAGGTGACATAAAGGCCAAGGCCGAGAAGAGTCGGTACTCCGGTACATGGCGTGTATGCAAAGCTGCCTTTGAAGATGTTGCAAAAGCGCTTTCGCAAGTGGTTTATTGATGCAAGGGCCCGAAATATTCCTATATCGGGACCGATCTTGCAACAGAAAGCACAGAACTTTGCATTCATTCTCGACGCTGAGTATTTCAGTGCGAGCAGCAGTTGGCTTCAACAATTCAAGACTCGCTTCAACATTGTTGGGAAGACGGTGTCGGGAGAATGTGAGGACGCCAATGATGAAGAAATTCAGAAGTGGCTTGATCACGAGTGACCCAAAGTGCTCGCAAAGTATGAGCCGAACCAGATCTTCAATGCTGATGAGACGGGCCCACTCTGGCAAATGCTTTCCCAACAAACGCTGGACGCTCGCGGAGACAAGTGCCACAGGGGCAAGCAAGGCAAGGCGTGTGACGGTCCTATTGACTGCCAATGTGGATGGAAGCACAAAGCTAATTCTCAAACCTCAAGGTGCATGCAGAACTGCCCCAATATTCCGGTGTCTTATGCCTGGAACAGGAAGTCGCGGATAACGAGGGATATTTTCGTCCGGTGGCTGAAGGCATGAAATTTGGACCTGACGCATCAAGGTAAGAAGATATGCCTTATTGTCGACAACTGCACAGCACACCACACCGATGCCCAGCTGAGCAACATCGAAGTGGTATTTCTGCTGCCTTACACCACTTTGAAGCTACAACCATTAGATCAGGGCATTATTCGCACATTTAAGTCAATCTACAAGTGTCGGCTGATCGAAATTTTGCTTGTCAAGCTCCGGATGGGCCAAGACCTGAAAACCCATAATTTGGGCGCCATCTTAATGCTGAAAGTGTCATGGGATATCGTCAAGCAGTCAACGATAGCCAACTGCTTTCAATGCAAGCTTCGCTGGCTGCACTGACGAGGCATCAATGAAAGAATCAGGGGAAGTTGGGCTGGCATGGGCAGATGAGGAGAGCGAGCTCGCCGAGAACGTGGATCAAGCTGGAGAGCTTTGTTGGTGCCGAGCCGCAAAGCATAGCCGCAAGCATGGTGAATAATAGAAAAACTTCATTATATTGTTATAAGCAGGTAGTACCTGGATAATGTAAATATCTCGTATGACAATTACACTGTTCACTGTAATTTATCTACTAGAGATTGCGTGCTCACTCACCTTGAGCTTGTTGATCATGGCCTCTTCAACATCCATTGACATAGACTGGCTGTGGATTAACCGTTTCGCAAGCATCTTTGCGTAAAACTGAAACGGAGCCAACAGAAAGCGCCAACATTACAAGTGCATGCACACATAACTTTACTGCACAGCAGTCACACCCTCTCTCAATGATTATCAAATTTACTAGAATGCGACATGATCACAATTGTAATACAATGGGCTAGACTCTACTCATGCAAACTTGAAAACTAATCAAAGAATGTAATGCGAGATAAATGAAAAAAAAAAAGTGATACCTTTATTCATGACATCACAAATTCATAATCAACTTCACACATCATCATCTGAGGAAAAACGCTTCTTGGACAGTATTCTTGAATACTAATTCATGGGGGTGGTTCCACTTTTGCGAAATTCTAAACAACTCCGCAGCATGCATTTCTATGGAAATGTTTCTAGCACTGTGACAAGCTTGTCACCCTTGTGCAGTGCCAAGAGCACTGTTGGACGTCAACTTTGAGGGGTTCAATGTTGAGCAGATTGTCCGCCGCAGTGCTGTTACGGTTACGGTGCTCAGCCGCTGACCCGATGGTTGTAGGTTCGATCATGGCTGCGGCAATTGCATTTTGGTCAGTGCATGCTAGTGCATGTTAAAGAACAACGAATAATCAAAATTTCCGCAACTCTCCACCCCAGCGTCTTGCATAATCATACCGTGACTTGGAGACATTAAACCACTGATGACGAATGTTTAAATGCTCATCATGACAATGCTGTAGGCAAAAGTGATAGGAGATAAGAAACCTGATCAACTCAAAATCTCATGCTATCTTGCGTCATCTCACAATGCTCATGCTCTCTGTGGTTTTCGTAATTGGCGTGCACAAGAAAAATGGTAGCAGCCATGAACTCGCATGTCCTTAGTGATCGCACCATCTTAGCCTCATTCTAGAGAACATAGCACCGCGAATGTCAAATTCCAGATAGAAAACAATACGCATAAGGCATTATTGTTGCATCTCGATGTCACAACGCAAGGCTCGAATTTACTGTAGATTGGAAGACCCTGTGACCTTTTGGCTGGTATACTTCCTTGCACAAATGTTTAAATGCATCGTCTAGCCTATCCTCACACCTTGCATAGCTCATTCAGCGCTCTACACTGAAGAGCCATAGATGCCTGCCACACTTAAATTCTCAATGACTCAAGCATGGAAACAGCAAAGGAATGAACATTTGATTTGATTGATTGATTAGCTGAAGTGTTACTACCAACCTTCTGGAAGACGTCCTTGTCATCGATGTACTTGAACACGGTGATGGACTGGGTGAGCTTGTCCTCCACTTCGGACTCCGAGATGCCCTTGGCACTCTTCTTCAGCAGGGCGTCGCAGTACTTCGCCAGCTGTCGTTTACAGAGTAACAAAAACAAGCACGAACATCACGGCCTATTTATTTTCTATAGCCTGTGGCTCGTCACTCATTATGAGCATAATGAATGGGATGTGCGCCATTGTTTCCCATGAATAAATTTCAAAAGTTACCACTGTGTGCGTATCCATTTCCTAGTCTTGCCATATGTCCATGCCCTAGACTAATCGCCTCTACATACAAACAAGCCAATGTCACAAGTCTGATCAAAATCCACCAACTGGTTCGGACACGTCAAATTTTAAGCTTGGCATGACCTGCCGGATGTTTAAGAAGTGCCAACACATACGACGAGACGAATTTTCTAGAAAGAACACATGAAATCAACTGACAATGCACACAAAAGCAGATAGAAAGTTCACGCAAGGATTTACAGTACAATCTCACTAGACCGAAGCTGAAGGTATCACGAAAATATGTTCCGTGTAACAGGCGTTTCACTTACTCAGAGATCTACAGGGGTACCGAATGCAAGTGCAAAACCAACCATATTACGAGGCAGTTCGTTTCATTTATTCTACAATTCAATTCAAGCAATTTCCTTTAACTCAAAGTCTATAGTAAAAGAAAACTTAACTGAACAAGACATTCTATGCTATGTAGAGTGCATGACGCTAACGGCCGAAGCATGCCGATATGGCGTGTGGTTGAACATTGTAAACCACAAGATGATGCATGGCAGACTAGCAAAATATATAAACCTTTGTTCCAGAGATGAGAAAAATAATACAAGAGGAAAATGAAGATACTCTCCAACCTCATGGTAATGTAATTGCACCTGACATGAAGATGACTTTGTTAGAGCGAATTCTTTGTATAAGGGTACGTCTTTAGCACTATTTGTGGCGAGACATTTTTTTGTTCAACGAGCTATATGCAACACTTAATAATATCGATACATGTTTTCGTTGTTCTTTTTTTTATGTCTTTCACTGCAAAAACAGTTATTGCTAGGTGCACTGCACCCAGGCCACACCTGAGTGCAATGAGACCTCCTTGAATGTTTTCAAACTGTCTGATTTCTGCGAAGAAGTTTATGCTGGAACTAATGCAAACACCAGCGATAACAGTGGTACGTATGACTGCACATGTGCATAAGCTGAAGAGTTTCTTGAACAATGAGGTTATTAACGACCGACTTCACAGCTATTATAGTGTTGCGACTGATATTTACTGTACTTCCCTGGGCACGAATTCGCTGCTATGAATAACTCCATCGTTGCAAGTTCTACTGCTTGGTTTCTTCATAGTCCCAACTACGTGAGAATATTACATGTCTCATATTGAAATTTATTTACAAAAATAACAAAAAAACACTGAGCAATATGAAGAAAACTAACTGCCACACAACATGCTGGATGAGGCACTAAGTGCAAATTTAAGGACTCGTTCTTTCTTTGTTAGATACAATATCAACAAGAACTAACAGACAACAAGAACTACAAGTCGGAAAGTTGAAAGCGGTGTTCTGATGGATAAAGCACTTCAGCTTGCTATCAGCGTGCATGGGTACAGCAAAATCCCAGAACAGTCGTATCTCATTAATTCGAACACGCTTAATTCGAACTTCTGGTTAATTCGAACTCACGCTGTGGTCCTGTTAAAGCTATGTGTATTCTAATGAGCGAAAAGCCCCTGTAATTCGAACGTGCAAGCACTTGCGCCGGTAAATTCGAACATACCGCGCTCTGAAAATGCTCTCAGCACCACGCCCAATCCTGCGGTGGCACCTCCAATACCTCAACACTGCGTGTGAAGGAGGAAAAGAAGAAAAGGAGGGAAAAGGCTGCAGCAGAATGTTTGCTCTCTCTCAAATGCTGATCTGCGACGTCCCTGTGCCACGTTTCTCCCTTTTCCATCCTTACCACTTAGAGACCCTTCTCCTTTCAACGCCGCGCGCGAAGAGAGAGAGAGAGAGAGAAAAAAAAGAAAGCTGTAGCAGAGAGTTGGCTCTCTCTAACGCCAATCTGCAATGGGCCGGTGCCACGCTTCCCCCTTTCCCGTCCCTGCCATGCTTCCCCCTTTCCCGTCTTTGCCACGCCGCGTGCGAAGAAAGCAAAAAAAAAAAAGAAAAAAACAACAAGAAGCTGAAATGGTAGTGTTCTGTGCTGCCACGGAGTGTTGCTTCTCTCTCAAATGCTGATCTGCTTCTCTCCGCGTGAAGACGCTCCTCCTTTCTCGTCATGTGCTGGCCACGCAGCGGCTGCGGCGCAGAGGGTAGCAGCGGAGACGCAGTCGTTGCTGTCGTCTTTAGAAAGTGTTCGCGCTGGACATTGCCGCGTGCAACTTCTCTTGCCAGGAGAATGCTGAAGCCGAAGTAGAAATGCTTTGCAAGCTGCGTGCAATATTGATTGACTCGTTGCAGAGCAAACGTGTGCAGATGTGCATCACCGATTATTTCAATTAATGATGAATGTCCTGTGATTTGTGAATAAATGTAAGTATTATGAAACTTCCCTCTCGTGTGTTAGCTCAATACACATTCGCCATTGCATAGTGAGCTCTCCGTTCATTTAGCTTTCATTAATTCGAACTTTTTTTAATTCGAACAAATTTTCAGGCCCCTGTGAGTTCAAATTATCGAGATTCGACTGTACAACAACAACAACAAAAAGAAACTAATTCACAAGTCGTGACTCACAAACCCTTCGCAAATTCATATGAGCATATCTTCAGAGGCAAACACGCGCAAAATTCGGCACCAACAAATGCTTCCGAGAAGTGTACTGCCCACTCTGGTGCGTGCGTTCTGTAGCACAGGAACCTTGAGGTCACTGTAACTGACACCATTCCATAATGAGGCCCACGTTTTAATATGAGGCTACAGTGCATGTCAATCAAGCCGAGCAGCTTTTGCATTGTTTGAACCGAACCCTGGCCAAAGTAGCCTTTCAAAATGAAAAGTAAATGAAGGTGTCACTGACCAACTCTGGAGACCGACAGGGCTGCCTGGTTGTTCCACGGTTGTTGATGATGGTGGCGCATGCCTGTGATAGAAAAAAAAAAAAAGAATTATATGCTTTTGGAAAACACCAGAAACATTAGGCTGAGTTTCAGCATCCTAACATTCTGCTTTTTACTCGGAAAGGAGAGTGAAAGAATAATGAAGAAGGATGATGATGTCAAGAACAGTCAGCATTATTTTAAAGCCATACGATACAGTGTTTCCATCATTTCTCACCTCATAATTATAATTGAGCATCATGTATTATAAACCAGCACATCATGAGTGATTCCAAAGGCTCAGAATTCCATGAGAATCATTCAATACTGATGCATACAAAAAAGAGAAGATAGGTCTCATGTACAAAACATAGTGCACAAGCATTTTGTGGTGCATGAAAGAAGAAAAAAGACGCGCTGACGCGATGAACAGCATCACAGTTGTTTCGCACATGTTAGAGCTCACCTTGTCAAGTGCCCCTACAAACTGCTGGTCTCCTTGAAATACTTCCTTGACCATGTCCTACAAGAACAGGTAAACATAAAAGAACTTTAGTGCCACAATGGTTATACGACATTTTTTCCTCGGCCTACCCTCCCCTTTCACCTTCTGTGGAAGACCAAATGATGAAGCGGACAAGGGCATGCTCCCTTTGAATCCAGAGTTTAAAATCTGCCTCATAGATGTCAATATATAAGAACATCTGAAATTACGTATGCTAGAAATTTTCAGCGTCCAATTTTTAAGACTTGCTGCCCGATTTTCAGATCTAAAACATTATTAATTCAGCCCACACCTCTGCCACATATATCGTCTCCATGAAGAACCAGTGTTTTCTTGAGCCAATACATTGGAGACTGCCGCACAACCTGAAAGACAGCGAGAGTGTGATGGAGTGAAGCATGATAAAAAGCTGAAGGGGCCACTGCCAATGGAAGACCAGTGCTGGATAGGTGGTGCGCCTGAAAAAAAAAGCACCTGGCGGAGAGTCACGACGAAACTCAACCTGCTCGCGCACCAGATGACAGCCACAGTGTACTGTGGCATGTGCTTGAGCCGCTGCCATGCTTCATTTTGAAACAAATAGCTTGAAAAGCCATTGTGTCAGTAATATTGCACCGTGGTTCAGAAAAAAAAACTTTGTCCGAAAGCTACCCTCACATAAAATGCACTCAAAAACAGAGAAAAGCTCTGCAAAGCGAACTGCATCTATGCATATGGCATCGAAGGAACAGTGCTATGCCATGATGACGACTACTTTGTCATCATTTTCTGGTTGCATGCTGGGTTTTGAGTTAAGGCTGGTGCGCACCGGCAACTAGCAGCGGCCGCACGACCATTTGCGACTGGTCGCAAACAGACGCAAATGGTCGCAAACGGTTGCAATGCGACTGCTTTGGCTAGTGGCTTCCTTGTCGATTTTTCAGTCACACGACTGTAGTCGCAAAGCTGCTGGAGCCAATCAGCGATGCTCAATTTTTGTTTTTTCATTGCGCTGGCCTCCTGCCGCCAGATACAAATGAGTGCGTTCCTCTGGGTCTGTGGCACCATGGCCACCACGGCATACTTGGCTTGGAGATGGCGGGGCACAGCAGCTCGAGCAAAGTGTCGAATTTACGTGGCGGCCTTCGCAAGAAGCTAAACACCGCGATAAAGATAAAATGAATTGTGCACTATCTTTTGGCCATATTCAGAATCGTTTTTTGTCTTGAACTTGACTTGTCACCGCCTTCAATGCAGCGCGTTTGGAACGCGTTTGTGCTGCATTGGAGGCTGTGGCAAGTCAAGATGAATTCAAGAACGCTTCTGAATAGGTACGACTCTCGGAAATACTTTTAGTCGCCTCAGCGCAGCTCGGGAGGTAGGAGGCTTGCATGGCCGGCCAACTCTCGCGATCAAAGGAATGGCCACAACCACCACCAGCTTTTTTTCTTTGGAGGCATCTGTGCTGACACCATGGCACAGCGCACCAGCACCATTAAAATTTTTCGTTCTTCGCTTGAATCGAAATCCTTGACGCTGTTGGGAACGCTGTGCGAGAACGGACGAAAACAATAAACCGCTCACTGAGCCAGCGGCGATCAGCTGATCGGCGGTGGTCTCCAGAGTTTTCGCTAATATTGAGATCTGGACGTGACTCCCCAGCTTTTCGACTTCCGGTCGCTCGCATGCAGCCTCTGCCAGTGTGAACATCAGTCGCTTTTTGGCCGCCAGTCACGAATGGTCGTGCGACCGCTGCTAGTCGTCAGTTTAAAAGAGCACTGACATCAAATTTCAAGATCGAGATGTGCCCATCATTCGATCGCTTGGTATGCATAGGTCTTCTTGGCCAAATTTGAACGACACCCGTCGCGTGGCAGTTATTTTAATTCGATGCCAAACAGCGATGAAAAGCTAAGGAGAAAAAACGAAAAATAGACTGCCCTGCGACATCGACACTAGTGCTACGTGTTCGGTGTGATACATTACACAAATACCATCCTGAGTGACGATGCCCTAGTAGCGATGACGTGTACGATCCGAGTGTTCTTATCATGGCGCTGACGGGCGCCGAAGTGCAGAAACGCACTCGCTCGTCCACGGCAGGGCTAGCGCGCGCAGGTGCCGTCTAGCTTGGCCGAGGCTCGTCGCGTCTGATCTTCATCGCACCGGTTTGAATGATTTCGTGAAATTACCAAGATAAAAACCACCTTTAACAGAATGGTGAAAGAAAAAAGCATGATTAGACGTGTGCTTGTCAGTCAGCATGTCGGGGAATCGTTGCGAGTTGCAGTCGTCTAGTTCAAAGTACGGAAAAAGCGCAATGAGGGTGTCTTTTCATATCACGTATGTGTTACACATCAACACGACCACAAGCTATCAAAAGTGGAAAGAGCGAGTAGTCAGATATCATCGCTAACGAAGTAACACGCAGGTATTGTTGAATTGAAGGCTGGATAGGTGGGGCCATCTCGAGGCGCAAAAAGGAACCTGACAAGCAGGAAACGTATTCTATTTCTCTGCTGATGCTCATTCGCAATAGCTATATTGCATTGACCCCTCTACGTATACCTGAATGCTTTGCAAGCCGAAACACACCGAAATAGCTGAGTCACACGAGCGAACATGGCTGAAGCGTGCATCCTCGGGCACCTCTACAGTGCTGCTTGGAACGGTGTCCATTTGGAAATCACTGTTCTACAAAAGGTCGATCAAAGCAAAAATAATTCGCGACGTCGTGAATAGCGGGGATTCCAAGCTCCAGTTATCGTATTGAACCCGAGTCGACACTTTGTACGGCGACGACAGCAATGCAGGTGACTAGGCATGATTGAATGTGTCCGTCTAGCAGACGAAATGTTTGTGGAGCAGCTGAGCCTGACGTCACTCTTTTCTGTTGAGAAGTGGTCAGCTGTGGCGTGATCTGGAGGTGACCGCGAGGTAGCGCCACTGCTGGTGCTCCCAGCGCTAAAAATGGCGGGATTGCCGGCCGTTTTGAATAGTGCTAGGTTCCAGTAATATAAATCAACAAATCAACAAAAAAGATAGTTATTCATCCCTCAGTTACATGTTAGGTCACGAATCGTTGCTACGGAGTCTACAGCTACTTTCTGACGCAAAAATCTTGCCATGAGTAAATTTGATGTCAGTGCTCCTTTAAGCCCAGAAAAAATTTTTTACCATACTCCAAAAACACTGCTGATTGGTAGTAGAGGCTCCCGAAAGACGCAAGCCAAATATTGTAGCGCAGCACGCAGCTAGAATTCACAATAAATGCTCAAAGTCGGCTAAAAATCTTCCTTTTCTCTTGACAAATGATGAAACAAGCTCAAAAATCACTTGTCACAGCCACTGCATCAGCCATTGGCTGATCTCAGCATGGCCCGCGCGGTCATTACTGCGGCTGCTGCGGGAGGCCGCGACTTGCTCACGCATGCACGCACAATTGCACTGAAAAGTTGCGTATTCGAAGACAAAAAGAAGAGATGTCCAAGGTCAGAAGGCACACATGACGTATTTTCTTTCTCCGTGCCTATCACTCCCTGCTTCGCTTTCAGTGCTTTCGTCAAGATGGAAAAAGAGAGAATGCAATTGCAGCGAGCTACAAATTTTAACTACGCTCATACTGGATGGATTCTAAAACTTGTGGTAGTGAATTCATGCAACAATAAGCTCTTTGGTGAATCCAATTTATGGCTACTGGGAAAAGTGTAACAGGACCCCTTTAAGAAGGTGACTTACTTTGGAAAGCCATCTTAAAACTTGATGGACATTGATGAAAACTGGCACAAATATTTAGCACATCTCCCTGATGCTTCCACAGAAGTTGAGAGCTATGTTTAGAACTTTTCATCAAACTAACACTTTCCTTTTTGTAATTCTTGGCAATTTGCCCAATGCCTGGAGAGTTTGCAAAATGCACTAGAAGGCTAAGTGAATACCCCTGCTTTAATATTATTTTTTTTTGCAACACAAAAATTCTTCCATACGATTTTTGTGGTACTTTCACATCGGGCAGACCTCAGGATGAACAACCAGTCACATCATAAAATCATAGAGTCTAAGAAAGAAAGAAGGCACTGTCGCGACGTACATTGTAGTCAAAAGAACATGACAGAAGGAACCGAGTAAAGATGGGCTATATGGTTACGAAAAAAATGGCTGCACAAAATCGGCAGGCATGCAAGGACACTTTTGAGAAATTGCCTCAAGCAGTTTCACCTTGCCTCCACTTATCACCAGAACCATAGTTCTTGGTGTCCTTTGTTTTGGCATTCGACGATTGCTTTGGTGCGTATCTGATGCCTTTTATTTTTGATTTTCAGTAATGACAAAAGTGCATTTTATATTTCACCTTCTATTAAACACCTAAAAATTGTGATCTTTGATTTTGTCCTGTGGTATTTGACTTCTTGGACTGTAATCTAATTGTCCGAAATTCCAAAAATTCAGATGTCATACACTGGCTCTATAAAGCTTGCGGCTGTCTCGTGAAAATGCCCAAATTCTCAAGCAGGTGCCCACACGAACTTGTGACGGACGCAGCTGAGACAGAAATAAAACGAGCTGGCTATTTTCATTGCATGAAAGGCGCATGAGATAACATCGCCCCGTGTGTGAGGTATGCTGTCGATGGCCTTTCAAGCAGAGGTAAGGCCCCGCCTGTCTCTCGCCGGGCGAAGAAGCATGGGAGGAGACTGCATCGTTAGAGCAGCAATTCGGAACTTTGAACGTACGGGTGCGATCGTTGGTGCTAACGCACCTGCCATCTCGTCAAACATCAGCAAACGGCTCGCTTACTTCGCATTGAGATCACAGAGTACAAAAACTCCTTTGCTCCATGAAGCTGCTGTATTCCCATACACCCCTAGCGTTTTTAATGAGTTATGCGTAATGCGACCCAATTAGTTGCTATTGCATTCGTTGTAAGACTGCCCCTAATTTAGTCCCGGAAAATTCAATTTTTGAAATTCCGCGAATAATAGGTGCTCCCGAAACTTGGCTGTGATCAGAAACGATTCTACCCCCTAGCGGTACAGTTGGAATGTTGCCCTTGTGGTAAGACTGCTTTTTCGCACCGCCACCAACGTCATGAAGGACGCATCAGGTGATGCTGATGACTATAGGAGCTCGCTGCGGCGGGCCGCGTCGTGAATGACGACACATGCAGGCACCATAACCGCGTGGGACCAGTTTTGCTGCAATAATATGTTTTAGAGCGGAACGGCGCAGCAGAAACGAATTGGCGTCACATGGCGAAAAATGTTGCGGGACTTCCACCCCTGCATGCTCTTACGGCAATTAAGTCTTGCTGCTTGTTTACAAATAATCTATGAATAATTCTATGATACCATATTTACTCCCGTAATAGGTGCACCCCTAATTTAGTCCCGGAAAATTCAATTTTTGAAATTCCGCGAATAATAGGTGCTCCCGAAACTTGGCTGTGATCAGAAACGATTCTACCCCTCAGCGGTACAGTTGGAATGCGGTCCCCATACCCTGAAGAAAAAAAGAAGGCGAATCGACGAGCAAATAAAAGAAATTCGAAGTGCTACGAACTAACCAACGTGTTTGTCAAAAGAAAAATAAAGCGTCAATGAAAAAATCCCAAGCATTTCCCCGAGGGTGAACATGGTTAAGTGCGAATACACGGGGTGATGCTATGAGGGGTATTTATTAATTCGCACTATTATATTTATTAATCCCACTATGGTGCCTTTATGGTGTAATGGTTCCTGGGAATCGCAATTTGATCACACGGGGGAGTTTACGTTAACTCACTGGCGAATACCAACGGATTTTAACTTTACTCCCCCTCACGACCTGCTCTCGACGGGAGACTGAGAGAGAAGGCGGGCGCGCGAGAGAGAGGGGTGCGTGCGCAGCTGCAGCGAGCGAGGAGAGCGGAGGAGCGAGCGAAGGGGGAGGGGGTATAAGGCGCGTTACTGACACCGATATCAGCGTCGCGTCCGTGGCTTATTCGGTAGAGCGTCGCACTGCGGCCCGCCAAGTCCTGTTTCTTTTAAAGATAGAGAGAAGACTGCGGACGCCGCCGACGGCGGTGGATGGTTTGGGGACGCTTATAAAGTGTATTCACACTTAAAAAAAAAAATGGCTGTTCCATCAATTACTGATACTCCCCAAATAGCCGCGCTCCTTGGAGTTCACGTGTACAATTCAAGGGGCTCGATCCCCATCCCCACCATCAGAGAAAAAGAAAGAAATGCCATTTTCCAAGCGGTGTGTGTATGTTCTGGTCGTGTATTCAACTTTGGTTCCACCATAGAGAAGTACGCAAGCTACACGGCTGGATTTAAACTGAAGGCAATGCAGTATGTGCTGGAGCACGGCAACCGTGCTGCAAGCAGGCATTTCGGTGTTGGAGAAAACAGTATTTGGTGCTGGAGAAACCAAGAAGAAAACTTGAGGTGACAAAGAGACACGACGGGCTTTCTGCGGAGCCAAGACTGGCAGGTATCCGAACGTCGAAAAGCAACTGGTCCGGCATAACGGGAGCTACGACAAGACGGCTGTGCTGTGTCATTGAATATTGTGCAGACTGAGGTGCGCACAATAGCCCGAGCGCAGCGCATCAAAGCAAAAGAGTACAAAGCCAGCTTCAAATGGACAACTCATTTCATGCGCCGCCATAGCCTCGCACTGCGAAGGTGGATCACCTTGTGCCAGCGCATGCCCGCAACATGTGAGGACAAAGTGGTAGACTTGGACCGTTTGGTTATAAAGCTCTGACAGCAGAAAGACTTCATTTTGTCCCAGATCGGCAACGCTCATCCGGCCCCCCTTTGCTTTGATATGCCACGGAACATGACAATGGAGGAGAAAGGTGCACGGAGCATCATCGTCAGAACCTCTGGCGCTGATTAGCAACGATGCACCGTAATGCTGGCGGTGAGAGTGGATGGGCGCAAGCTACCGCCTTACGTTATTTCCAAACATAAGTCGGTCCTAAAGGCAAATTTCCCTCAAGGCTTCTACGTCAGAGTCTAGAGAAAAGGTTGGATGAGCGGGAACTCATGGTGGATTAGTTGAAAACATTCTGGGGGTCGGCGGATGGGTGGTCTTTTGTTTCCGTCCATGCTTGTCCTGGACAGTTTTCGTGTGCCCCTAGTAGACTGCGTACAAAATGAGCTAAAGGAGCTGCGCACAGATCTGGCAGTGATTCAGGGCGGCCTCACAGCGATACTGCAGCCTTTAGACGCGTCCTTGAATAAGCCTTTCAAGGACAATGTTCGAACGCTGTACACCACCTGGATGGCTGGAGGACATCAGCTGACTCCAGGTGGTAAGATTAAGAGGCCGCCTGTGGAAATGCTGTGCACTTGGATAGTGGAAACGTGGCAGGGGATTTTCGATGAAGTCGTCAGGAAAAGCTTCAAGAAGACGGGTATCTTGAACGCACTGGATGCAAGTGAGGATGACATGTTGTGGGGTGCGGACGATTCGAACAGCGAAAATGAATCCCCGCTCGGCGAGGATGAATGTGTGCTCTCGAATAGGGAAAAGGAGGAACACCTATGACTTTAGTGTAAATAAATTTTACGTGTGTGTGTGTGCAGTTGATGGCTCTCGCTTGTTCATTAAAAGGTACGTAGGTGTGTTTGTTTTATGCTGAATTAATCAGTAAACAATAAAGTCGTCTTTTACTTGACAAATGTGAAGATTTAAAGCACGAGAGCCGAGGCAAAAAAGTTTTCTAATATTTTACCCTGTGTAATTCGCATACCCCTAAATTCGAGTTGAATTTATGAAGAAAAAGTGCATCTATTATGTGAATAAATATGGTATAGAGAAAGATTTATTGTGACAGAAAATGGCTCACACTATGACAACCTATGCCATCTTTCCAAATAATGAAGTTATGGCCGAAACACTGGTCGCAAAGAAATTTTTTAGCAGTTTATTGAATGATGCGAGTCGAGCAGATGAAAATTTGTCCCCCCTGCTTCATGCACCTTCTTTTGTTACTCCAGCTTGTAAAACGCATTATCAAACTGCCGATCCCGGAAACGCTTGCTTTGGGGCTATTATTGTTCCAGAATACGCTTTCAGCGATACCAAGCACAGTTTCCAGCATGCATAAATTGCATCACTCTATCTGACTTGCAGAGCGCTCAGCGATGGGGTCGGTAGAGTCAACGCATGATGTGCTTAACAGGGGCGTTCGGTGATGATGCACGAAATCCACAGCTATGATGACGACAAATTGGTACGCAATATGCTTGCTCTCGTATTTTTGAGTGGTGACGTGCGAACTTGCTAGCCACTGCACTGAGCAGTTCATGGCTGTGGGGTCTGCTAAGATTGACTTCGGGGTCCGCTGCCATAGCGTTGAAATGCCCACCCACGGTTCTGAGAAGACGGCGAGCAACGTGCTTCGTTGCTTGCAAAGAAGCACGTTGTCGCGGGTGCACTAAGTCTTGTTTTGGGCCGTAAAGTTCGTGATTCGTCTCACCATCAACAGAGCCTAGTGACGACACTGAGCATTGGAACACATGGTCTACAGGTGCGGTGCACCCTCATAATCTGATTGAGCATCTGCTTGCTGCCCCTAACCGAAGCATAATTACATTCTAAGTGATCGTTGGGTTGTGAGCATGTCACAAAGTAGCAGGATTGTGGACTGGAATGAGCTCCCTATGCGCAAGCAGCAAACAATCTCCCGGACCAATGGTGAGGCAAGCTGGGACAACATGGTGGATTTGGCTAATCGGAGGCTTTGAAACAACTCTCAAGTATTTGCTTTTCGTGCACTTCTATATGAATGAAGAAGTCACCTGAAGCAAGAAATTAAAAAAATTTCTTTTTAAAAAGCTTAAAAAGGCAGCTCTTCGCCGCGCCATCGCTGAGTTTCGGATATTTTCGAAAATCGACGTTTTTTTTGTTGTCATTTTTTTTAAAGCATGTTGGCGCGGTTTTTAGAGTAAATATTTTGTAATCGAAAAAATGGCTCCAGAAACTCAAAATAAGACTTTTCACTACTAAATTATTTTTGCAATTTTTCCAAAATAGAAAGCCGCATCTTCCCTTAAGGAGTCTATCCACGTGAAAACTTAGCTGTGCCAGTTCGAATAAAAAGACTTAGCAGTTCAATCAACCCAAAAAGAGGAAAAAAGCAAACTTGTGGTAAAGCAAACAGAAATTAGGCACCTGGTAAGTGGCATGCACTTGCAGCACTGCTTCGACAAAGTGCTGCGGGGAGATGGCGTTGGCCTGGGCTGGGCTCTGGCTGCCACTGTCGATCGAGGTAGAGGACGACGAGGCTGTTGCCGGTGCAGCACCGCCTCCTTCATTGCCTCCCTGCTTGCAGCCGGCCGAGACCTACACGCTCGACGTGCCGCTGCAGCTGTGACACCAGCACCTCGAGGGCGCGGGGCCCCAGGGGCCGCAAAAGGGTGTACATGCGAGACAGGTCGGTGCGCCGCTCGGCCTCCATCATGGGGCCGCACTCCTGCTGCAGGAAGCCCAGGTGGGCACCCACCATCTGCTGCTCGCACTCGCGCGTCACCTACAGACAAATGAGAGGGAAGTTAGTTAGATGACTCACTACAGCCATCTCACAAACATAGGAGTAACTTGGAAATGTAGGTAGTGCAAATACCGCGGAGACTCACGCAAAGGTGGCACCCTTTCTTTAGCTACCTCGTTCAGGCGCATGTCTTACACGAAACCAAAGCATTTGGTCCAATTTCTTTTCTTTACAAGTTCAGAATCCGCCATGATTTCCCTTACTATTCGATTATCACACACCCCCACATAAACTACAGAAATAAAAATAAGGGAAAGACAGGAAGGTTAACCAAATAAACTCTCCAGTAGGCTATTCTGTACATGGGAGGGGAAAGGGGCTGTAAAATAATGGAAGAAGAGCCCATGAGGACACAACAAACCCATGATGACGATCCCGGTCAAGTACGACACACCATGGTTGTGTGTGAACAATTCGTCATTCAGTCCAGTCTCTCGAAGATACTGCAGCAATGCCACTAAAGCAGTTCACATTAAAAACTGGGTAGGTCAGTGCCCATGAATTTCATTTGGGCTTGTGCAAATACTCAAACATTTCGAACATTCGAACAATAATAATGCATTTGAATTTGCTTTAATTTGAATTATTGCAAATTTCGAGGAATTCAAAAGAAATGAATAGTGTATAACGAATAGTGCAAAATGAATAGTGCAAAAGTGGTGTCACTGCAGTATAGAGATGCTATATCATGAATACACCTTTACGTAGAAAATCCGCACTGCCGCAAAGACTCATTTCAAGGTTAATGAACATATTGCCCTCGCATCGATTCTTCCTTTTTCAAGTTCAAAGGCAAGTTACACTAATTTGTATGGTCTAAGTATAGTAAATTTTAAAATGTAACATATTTTTCAGGTTATCCCTTGCAATGTACTGAAAGTCAAATCCCGCTACTATTCGAAGTTGTTTTCCACTTTGTCAGATCCAAAAAAGAATAAAATTTGCTCAAGCATCTTTTCATTAAAATAATATATATATATTGTGAAGGTTTGTTGGGTCATGACAAATATGCTCATTTCTTTTTATAATAATATGTTATATATACTATTCAAATTCAATTCCAAATTATTTGAACCAAATCACTACTATCTGCTTTGAGTTCACTTAAATTTACTATTTGCACAAGCCAATTTTTGTTTGCTGTGAGGTGACGGTTGTCAGGCTGGTGTAATGCCACATAAACAAATTCTATCCTTCTCATAATAACATCATTCATTCTTTCATGCACACTGCACAGTCGACTGCAAGTTGTCACTATCACTGCTACTGCTACTCAGACTCAGTTCTCAGCTCAATCCATGAATGTGCTGGCATTTAAGGATTAAAGGAAACATGTACATCACTGCTGACATGACACTTAAGGTGTCCAAATCGTCAAGAAATGATACCTACTGCTGGCCTGACAATGGCAACACCATTGCATCACACAACCCTGACCACAATTTTACTCACTAATATTAGAGGCATGTACTCTTATAACAAATATAGAACAACTTAATCTTCATTGCAACTTTGTCAGGGACCTGTCTACGTGTGTAGTTTGTAGTGTGGGCTTCCTAAGACGCAGGCGAACCAAGTTTGGCCATAATGAAAAGAAAAACAAAGCAGCAATCTACAGTACACGGACCTTTGGGTAAGAGCTAGGGTGCAGGAACCGGTGTGCACGCAAGTTCTCCTGAGCAAGGACGTGGAGCACTCGCTCCATGTACGCCGAACAGTCACACTCTTCGAGCAGCCGGTGCGCCTCACGTTGCAGGTGTTTTCCAGTCTCTGCGAGGAAGGGTGTCTCGAACAGCTCCTGGTACAGAGCCAAGGGCTGCTTGCGCTTGTACTCCTCCACCTGCGACAGAGGCGGTCAAATCAGGAGAAGAACCTTAAACGCTCAAGTAACACCCCATTGCGGATATTCTTGAAGTGACAACCCTCGACATCCCAGCTTTACGCTAGAAACAAAGATGGTGTGACGAGTTCATTATGGCAGTATGACATACGGATCTCAAACCTAAGAAAACGTAACAGAAAATACAACGTGGTCGTGGATGGAAAAGGTGCAGCTCCATAAGTGTGCATGTAGCCGAAGCACGCAAAGGTCAAATGGAACTTACTGTTTGCCACAACCAATGTACACAAAACTGGAATAGTTGTTAGCAAGACACCGACTACAATGATGGGGCCCGTCAGCGCAGTACTTTCGTGAGAGTGAGGAAGGGCCGATCAGCATAGTGAAATCGTAATAGTGACTGACTTTAGTGACACCCCATCACATTAAAGCAGTGACTACGATGATAGAGCCCGTCAGCATAGTGTAATAGTAAAAATGAGGCGGGCCAATTGGCATAAACTTGTAGTCGTTCTAGATGTTGCCGTCGTGTGATTTTGGTGGCGTGGAGGGTTGGCAGCTGTTCAAGTAGGGGTATTGCTGCCGATCATCAGATCAATTCTTGCTCCATCAACTTTTTTCTATTTTTCTGGGTAATGCCTTAACATCAATGTTACTGCTCTGAAAGAGTTGTCATTTTTTCTATCTAAAAGAAAGTCATGTTGCTGTGTACAGCAGTCGTTGTTAGAGAGCCTTACTATTAGGATTTTAAGAAACAGCGGATGATGCATGAAGTGGTGTTGGTGTGCGACCACTGTTTGAATCGAGCTGACCAAGTACATTTTCAAAATATATTTTTTCAATATAACTGCGATTATTCACCAGTTATGACCATCAATCTTCTTTTGTTCGAAACGTGGGACGAAGACCTTTCCCAATGACTTCCGACTGACACTGCCCTGGCCAAGCGAATTCCATTGTATGCCTCCAAGTGTCCTTATTTATTGTCCTATCCAACCCTTTGCTACGTTTTGCATCTTTTGGCATGCATTCCGTTGCTCCACCTAATAATTCGTTATCTGTCCTATACATAATGTGAGCTGAATAAGCCCCAAAACTACAATATGCATGCGAGTCGGATTTCGGAACTACTTCGCCTGAAATCACACACACAAAGACCTCACGAGATCAAATCTGGTGCCCATACACAGGAGAATATGTACATCGCTTTCTTCCCAATGTGCTATTGAATACAAACGTCGTAACACATGCGAACTTCATGGTGCGGTAAATATATACTCGTGCTATGTTGCACTCTCTGTGGCTGTCTTCCAATCCTGAGACGGTGCTTTTCTCACCGTATCGAGGCGTGTTCCGTATTGTTTTCGATGATTCGAATGCAAACAAACCCAAGACACAGGCATGATCGGTAGCCTGGCGGCTCGCAATCGCTGGCTGATGCGGCTCAAGCTTGGGTAAACCACAAGGTGTGAGCTAGTCGGCGAAACGAATATACAAGAGCGAATGTGCATCTAGCAGCGTGATATAAACTAGGCTGAGGGAAGAGAGCTGTAGCGACCTTGAACACGGTCTTCCGGAAAGATGTAAACAACAAAACAATAAAAACTGCTCCAATCACTTCAGGAAGCGCACCTGCGGCACTACGACCATGCAGCCAGTCGCTAAAACTGCAGCAATGTTATGACAGGCCACCTTACTTTTGTGACATCCTTACGGCTGTATTGACTCGATGTGGTGATCTCTGCGCGCTTTTAATGGTGGTGGTGGTGGAAACCTATTATTTGCATTTTGCTACAAAGCCTGCTGTAGGGGAAGGCCAGACCGGGGCTATGCTGCAGCTGCCGTTCTTAAAGTCCGGTCAGTCAGCTCGACTCACTCATCGTCGGGTTCTTGCTGGGCTGAGGCTCTTCGCACTGCTCCACTGTGGAACGTTGTCTAACAGGATTATCATTCAAAATAACTAACATTACTTAAAACAATATTCAAAACAGAAAAAATGAAAGAAAAGTTTACTTGCTCAGCGCGATTAGTACCTGGGCTGTACAGCAATGACACATCATGCATTGCCCGCTGAGCTTCGAAATCCAAATGATCGGGCTGTCTAACAACCGCCACAGACAGCATGTGATTTTCTTTTGAAAAGAAAGATTACCACTTCTTCAATCACCGTCAATGCCGGCGCATATCCGGAAAAAAAAAAATAAAAAGCTGAGAGGATTTGATCTGGCTTCAAACCGTGTGTTTGAGCACTTTGAACAGTGTTTCAAACCGCTATGGCACTAAAACCGCATGACAATAGGGCGTAGAATGACTAGAAATTTGTGGTAACAGCCACCTCACTTTTGCAATTACACTACGGTGACAGGCCCTTCACTTTTACTATTTTGCAGCCCTAACGGGCCCCCTCAGTTTTTCGTTAAAACTGCACTGACAGGCCCCTTCACTAATCACTGCTTTAGAGTGACTGGGCTTGTCAGCATAGTTGCACCGATATTATGACGAACCCCTCACTATAACGATTACATGACAGAACTACTACGAGGGACGGACCCCCTTGACTTCACAACAGTACTGTTCTGATGAGTCTCGTCACTGTATTCACCGCCATAACTGTTTGTTTACATCATGTGCGACAACTACCAAGTTTTGACAATAGCAACTACGCTGGAACTTCGATTATACGTGCCCCAGCTACGCAACGACCCGCTTTTTACGATGACTCGGTTTGGTCCCGGTTTGGTTCTTAGCATGGGAAATTTATTCTCCTGGCAGTTTATGCACATCTGCATATGCCTCGACCGAGTTCGTACATTGGGTCGTTACCCAGAGAAGCTCCCTCCACAGTAGCTTCAGCTGGTTGAAGAGCTCATTTCTGAGATTCTGATATTTTCATGTTTTCGGTCAGTAGAAACTTTTCCTGGTCAACGTACAGCTGATCTGCCTTGGTTTGTGGCCCTTGCAGCCACAAGCTTGAGCATGCACGCAAAAGGCTACGATGATGCAATTTTCACCATGCAAAATAACGTTCACTTGATTTCAACGTGGGACATCACTAGTTGGGCTTTATAAGGCAACAAATTACAACAGCTCAGCCGAGCACAAAGGCATTCAATTCATGCAACCTCGTGAACTTGTGGTTCCCCGCCATAATGTAATGACGACAACACTGTGCCTAACTCTTCTAACGGGAGGGAGTTGGCAAAGCGGTTTCGGTCTCATTTTCACACACAGGCAATTTTCAGACAGACTCTATTGGGAGAAAGATGCGTGTCGGATTTGATTTTTTACAGTTGAGAATAATAATTCACTCACACCTGCCTCAACTAAGTAATGCTGCCATTCGCAAAACTAATTTGATTTACTTCCTTGGAGAAGTGCAAGGTTGTGTCGTGGGCTTATTCAGGTGGTCTGTACCCGTGCAAGGCTGAGTGCCACTGCCTGTATTTTTAGTTCTCGATTATACGATGCCGCGATTATACAATGCTTTTGTGCAGTCCCCCCGAAGGTATTATAAATGGGGTTCCACTGTACACATCTTCAAAGACCCACGTCCAATGCAGCAGTAAATGCAACAAAGCCACAAGAAAGGAAGAATCACTCTGGCTCTCCTGTTGTTCGCCGATGACTATGGCAATGCGGAGTTCAGCACTTTGTTTTTACTTTGGATTGAGCCATGAGGCTTGTAAGTTTCATTGTAACAGGATCTGACTGCACCAAAAGGGGAAACGTCATGTGCATGCCAATGTTTCCAGCTGTTTTGGGTGGCCGAGTATTGCAGGAAAACTTTAATGCGGGCAGTTTGGACACACATTTTATAGACTTGTATAAAAAGTTAACTTTCATATCACAATTTTCATAAAATTCTGCTCTTAGGTCGAACTTAACTTTTTAGGCCTAGTTTGTGTCCTTGATTCAATATGTTTGCTCAACACTACAAAGCTCAATGTTATCCTTTTTCCAATGGTTTTACAGTTGAACACATTTCCAAGAGGCATGCACTAGGCTGAGGTGCTAGTCTCTTACAAGCTGGGTGCCATGATCCCATTTTCTGATAGACCCCCTTTCACTGCAGGCACACTGGTGTCTGTTATGCCCATTTGTCCCTTGCAACAGTGTCTCTTATTGGCTACACATATTTTCTGTCACTGCCGCTGCTGCTTTCACTAATTTCTCGAACGCATTTGAAGACCACTTCACATGCAGTGAGAAATACCCCACCGCTTTAAATAATCACTGCAGTCACTGCCCACAACAATGCAAGCGTTAGCTGTGGATCCACGAATAAATGAATAACATGTTCCAAGTTCCTTCTTCGGGTGTCATCTTGTGGCAGGTCTCTGCCGTCACTCAGTGTAGAAGCGCCTGAATATTGCATCAATGAGCCCCTAAACTACCTCGAATATTTTTTAAGATTTCTGGTAAACACACCCATTGAGTTCACAATGCTGTCGCAATTAGCAATGCTACAAGTGGCAGCGCTACAACACAGGAATGCTACGAACACAGAACAAATAATCTCGCATTTCTCTCCGAGCCATAACTATGAAACAGAACTTCATATTAATACTCACCGTCCAGGATTGCATCACTTCGGACGTAGGTATAGATATATTTATGGTGGTAATAATGGCACCAAATCCCCTCAGGCGGCCCTGCAACACTTTTTCATGTAGCCATGGAATGGATTCACTAAATAAGCTTATTGCTTGACAAATTAACTGCCGCAAAAATTTTTAGGATCCCTAATACAAGCAGAGTTACACTTAAACCTCGTTTTAACGAAGTTGAAGGGGAGCCACAATTATTTTGTAATATCCATTATTTCGTTATATCGATTATAACAGTTAGTGGCAACGTATGCTCAAATGGGTGCACACCTATGAGCATGCAAAGAAGGAAACCGCCTCGCGGCCCAATGTACCGCTACGCAACTACGCGCACGACGAAAAATAAACGCAGTCGAATCCCATTAATTCAAACTCACGCTGTGGTCCTGTCAA